GTAAAACTGAACTACATGTATACAGAATATACATATATTACTATTTTTTGTTGTTGAGTCATTTTAGGTTGGTTATATCTTGAGATAACCTAAGATTGGAAACTACTCATATAAATGAGTAACTTATTGCTCACAAGGAGAGATAAAAGAAGAATTGTTTCATATCGGAAAAGGGTGGCAACATAAGAATATAAAGTTACACAAATGTATATATACATATGGATGTAATTAGGCACAATACACATAAAATTATTCTATATTAGACTACTGTAAATTCAGAAATTATTGCGAGGTTTTTATTAATGCAATAATGCGACTGAATGAGTATCGCATTAATAAAAACTCCATTCTGATATCTGATACATGTAACTGAATGCAGATTTTCCTGAAATCGCAATAATTAATCTCACTTTTAGTCCATTCTTGAAAATTCGCATTAATAAATGAACTCAATAATTTCTGAAGTTACAGTATGTTATAAACAGACTTTTTATCTGGAATGGTGTCTTTTATTTGATATAACAATCATTTGATTTATGAAAAAACTTATTTATACAAAATTATAAACACCTTTTCTTTTGAGAACTAAAAACACTACTAGATACTCAGACAAGAGTTTTTGTTATGACACAGTTAACTGTACGTCAATGACCTACAAATTTCAGACCACCAAACCGAACTTAAGATAAAATAGTAGTTGCTAACAATGAACAATTCATTTAAGACGGGATCAATTTGTAAAGTCAGCGTCAAGTTTCACAGTCAAGGAGGGCTGATTTTTAAAAGCCTGCTCGGGTCAACAAAAGGGGTTGTAATTACGGTTTTTACCCTTGCATTCTAAACTTTATTGTACTTGTCTGTCTATATTCATTTTGGTTATCTATTCAGATGCTTTTCAGTAATCTTGTTATACCCAGTGACCCTCCAATGAGCAATGAATCAAATCTGATCAAATGTGTTCTTAAATACAGATCCAGTTTAAAACCTAACCTTAAACAGTTATTCGATGCTCAAAGGGTGCATGTGATATACAATTATTGACGTCATTCTATTGTTTTTAGATTAGATGTTTAATTTGATATTGTTGTTGTTTGTTTATTTCTTGTTAAAGTACATGTACAAGTAATTATATTAATTGATTAATGTCTTGTTAGAAAACACCTTTGTTTTGACAGAAATGCTTTATAAATTTTGTAATTTTTATTTTCAAACTTATGCTGGTACATTTTCATATACTGGTAGTATAAAAACACTTAGGTTTAAAATGGGTTGATGTTAATCATGTTAATAACATCTTAACTAATAAAAGATTATAGTTAGATGTTAGTAACTGCAATTTGGAAATTCAATTTTGGTTTCAGTTTATAAAGGTATTAAATTAGCTATTATCAAAACTTTTAGAATGTTTCTTATAATAAATTGGTCCTTTATTTCTTCTTATACAGAAAAATCATTTACAGGAAGTTACTTTTTAGATTCTTAGAAATATAAGTTCAGGTTTTTATTTTAAATACTAAAAATATAATTACTTTTTGCGATACAATGTATTATGTTAATGATATGGTCTATGGCTGATTAATTGTTTTTGGTATGAATAAGTGTTTAGTATGCAAAAATGTACAGGATTGACCACAAAATAATCTGATTCCTGGACAGTTGACATATTTAGCATTGTTATGTATAAAAACTTGACATTCCTGATATGCTCTGTAGGTAGGAAGGGAAAACATTGTTCTTTATTTATATATGATCATGCACAACACATTATAAAATGTTGAATAGATTTTTAGAAAATGCAAGTCAAGGTTGTCATTTGCATATAATTGGTGAAAAATTATAAAGTAATTTTTAATTTAAAAAAAATAATCCAATGTACATTGTATAAACAGGATCTTCAGTCTGGTTCCCTGTTAGTACATTTTGTAATTTAACAAATGAACAGGATTTGCAGTATGAATCCCTAGATTAGTTTTTGGCACATTTATGCTTGCAGTGAACTGAGTTAAGCAAATTGGAAAATGATATTTATATGCATACATGTTCAGTAAATCACAATATTGCCATAGAAATTGAGTGTTTGATCTGTCAGCATCTAAATTTATGTGTCTGTTGTTCTGTAAATTTGATGAACAAAATATAAATGAAGTAATAGAGATCCACCCATACTTTAAATACACCTACACTGTCTGTTTTTATACACACCCTTAATCAAGTGCAGTTCATCAACGCAGATGCACTTTAATGGTTATAGGTTATTATCGTGTTAACCGCATATGGGTGTCATAAATGATAAATGTTATCAAATCTTAAATTTCATATTTTTGTAAACATCTTAATGGGTACATATGCTATATTTACTGTCAGTTTTTATAGTTTTTTTTTTGTGTTGCAAATTATATTTTGCAGGTGGTACAACAAATTGAATTTTATATCATAATGAGATGGATGATTTTGCCAAATTAATGTGTAATTGTACCATATGAAATAGTGCATTGAATTACTTGGGTCATAATAACTGAATATTTTGCAATGTGTCAAATTATGCTTTGTATATTAGATATTTTATTAATTATTTATGTATTTATTCATGTACATGTATTCAGTTCGAGTTTTAATTATTGCTTAAACGTTGTTATTTTTATGAGGTTTTAAGATGGTGTGGTTTATGATTTTTGTTCCTTTAAAAAGATCCTATGAATATACAAGATGTATCTTAGCACTTCTGTAAACTGTTCTGACAGTATGCATGAATTAATAATGAACCAAGCACAAACATTGGAACTTTGAACCAACCATTACATAATATACATACATATTTGTGTTCTTCCCAGTATTTGAAAAAGCAACATGGGATTTGAAATATCACTGTGTCCCGAAAATACAGTCACAAAATTAACCTTGATAACAGTAAGGTGCTGCATGTTGCTATAAGGCCATGATGAGAACAATTCATAATCATGCAGGGCATACAAACACAGAATTAAGATGAAGAATAAATCCCAAAAAATAATCAATGAAACAAAAATAGGCAAAAGCAGCCACAAAGAATGAGAAACATCAGCACCATCTCTAGTTTGCCCAATCAGTTTAAAACTTACAAAGTATTCAGTTTATATTCTGTTTAATGTAACAGTCAAGGCCAAGATCTAACTGTATTTTTTTATGATCTTTTTATGAAAACTAACTTTTGTATGTAATTGGGCTGCTACATTTATGTAAGAAATTCTAAAATAAGTCAAAAGAGGCACAAAGCTTGTGTTTGTGTCGTGATGTCATAAGTGATTGTATTGGGGTCTTTGGTTTTCACAAAATCAAAATTATCATGCTAAAATGGAAAAAACATGTTTTCAAATTATTGGAAACAGATAGAAAGTATGTATGAATTTGAGAATTATAATGTTGCAGTGAATATTTGTACTTCTTTTTGTTGCAGTTTCTTTGAAAAACCACTTCTTTGGACAACCAGTAGGGTGTTTTTCAAGTACGAGTTAAGGCTGCTAGGTGAACTTTATATTTGTACTTCTGCTTGCATTATAATGTAACTCCTCTTCTGCTTCAGATTTTGATAACTTATATTTAACGATGATTAAAGTGTTTGTTTTTGTTTCCTACAGTGGATTTGATCTTTTTAAACTGAAGTTAATCAGAATAAGGTGGCTTTATTTTTGTCTACTGGAAAGTCTCCAAACACCTGATGTAGTTGATTGTGAAACTTAAGAAAATATTACATCAAAACCTAATCCTGCGATAAAATATACTTGAAATGAGATGTAAAGGAGATTGTTTCGACCTTTTTCTATAAATACATTAAGGCCTGTTCATATTTTCGAATCACTGTGTTTGTGTTGATAAAAGAAGCTTTTTCTGTATCAAACTGGGAAGAATCTGGCAAGAGATGAAAATGAACAGTTTCTAACATGTCAGTTTACAATGGGTTAACCAAATACTAAATAGATAAATTGTGTAAATATTTGGGCTTTTCATGTGTTGCTATAATTGAGTTACAAAATATTATAATAGGAGATATGAGGTTGATATTGAGGAGAAAGCAGTTCCCACAGTAAATGACATAAAAAATGTACACAAAATTCAACACAGAACTGAATAGAAACTTATGAAACCCAGAGGAATTTGTATTTTATTAGATTCTTTTCTTTTTTTTTTTTTTTTTTACCTAAAATAGACTTTCTTTTCCCCATATTTCAAAGGTAATACAGCTTTTTACTGAAACTTTTATTCTACTTATCAAAACAATATCATAATTTGGAAAGGGGTTCAAAATTCTGTCCAAGCAAATTCAATGCGAATTATTAAATCAGACATTTGATATACCGGTAGAATAAAGTGAAGTTTTGACCTGAACTGTTTATTTTTGTGTAGAAGTGTAGTGATTTCAATGTAATAACAATGATGTTTAAACGTACAAGAATAAATTTGACCCATTGGTACAATTTCACTGTTGATCGATGCATTATAAGATACGTGAAATGATAAATCAAAGTTTGTTTGAAGGTTTCGTCATTTTATAGATATTTATACATGTAATTGTACAACTAGTTTTTACTCTATATTTATATCGACCCAATAAGTAATATGTTAGTTCAAGGTAATGATTAATGGAACGTTACACAATTTCCTTTGTAACACCTGTTTTCTAATCGTTTAGTATCTTTATAGCACCTGTTTTACATGTTCATAATAATATATTATGCTATACTTCTTCAGCCTCATAATGAATTAGTTGCAAGGTTGGCAGGTAAAAGTTCTCCATCTGTGTTACAAGCAGTCATGCAAATATAATGTATATACTAGTACTTAAGATTCATTGATATTCTTTAGCTACTTATTTTCATTGATTTTTTGTGTACCGGCATTAAATGTATTGGCTGCACACATACATCTATGGAATAAGCAAACCTCAAATGTCAGTACTCTGTTAGTATTTCAGCTTTGGTGAAAAAATTCCGACCAAATCATTAACTTTTTGTTTTCTCTTTCAGTCATATTTTACAGACAACAACATGGATAGACCCAAGAAAAACAATTAATCAGCAGCCAAACCTGAATGGCCTTCAGAGTGCCCCACCTCCCCCACCACAACACTCCCCAAACGTCTCACTACAGAATATAGGGCCCCTTCCACCAGGCTGGGAACAAGCTTTTACACCTGAAGGGGAAATGTATTACATCAACCACATGGAACGGAATACAAGTTGGATGGATCCTAGATTAAGTAACTACATTTTAATTGATAATAGAATTATGCATGGTTGTTATTAAGATGGGTGTAGTAAAGTTTCACATTGAAATGATTAAGTAAATTTGGATATTCTTCTTTCAGGCAGTAGTTATTTTTATTGAATTCTTATATAATCAAAAACAATCTGAAATTCATATTTCTCAGTGATTTGTCAAGATAAAAGTGTAAACTAAGATTTCTAAAACCCTGGAATGGAATCTGATGCTTCAAATTAATAAAAAAAAAATATATTAAAATTAGTCATTTGGAATTCTAATCTGATGCAAATATTTGTTAAAATATCAGTTTTCTTAGTTTTCATGTATTGTTACAATATTATTATAATTCCTACATGTCTAACAGTGTAGAAAAATTTACACTCTAAAAGCACTACAGATAACAATACATTCAGCATTTAATATATTAAAGAAAGAAAACAAAACTAAAGGTTTAAAAATAAATGTTCAATTTTGTCACAACTTGTTTGATTGTTAAGTGCTAAATGCTTCATCAGTCATTATGTTTTTGTCTCCCCTGGATTATGTCATTGAAAGATAACTTTTCTTTTTAGTTCTTACAACAGCTCAGAGAATGCAAGATGTTAGATTACAACCACCACCACAAATATCAGCACAACCAAAATACAGTCCCACAATACAAATGACACAGTTACAAGCTGAAAAAGAAAAGCTGCGAAAAAGGCAGGAAGAAATAGATCGCCAGGTACAATCAACTTATAATTGGTTTACAATGTGTATATAATTTACACCAATATACTTTATGATTATTTTTATCAAACAAGTGATAGTCATTTCAAACATAATATAATAGTTTAGATAAAAAGCAACTGAATTCATATTGCATTGATTCAAATGAGTATGGCCACGATGGCCTTAAATTCACCCTTAATCAAACTATGTAATACCATATGTAAAAATCCATATTTACGATCTCAAATATGTAAATTTAAATACTCTACACACTTTTGTTGTCGGCTGTTTGTTTTAACAATGTTGACAGCTTCAAAAGTTTTCATCAGAATGCACAATTGTGAGGTCATAATGGCATCACAATTGTTCTAATGCATCAGAGCTTGTTGAATTTGTATTTGTTATTTATTTTACATATTTTGTTATCAAATTTTTATTTATTACTAAAGTTAAATTTCCTAGAATTTTAGGACCAATACAGACTGGACCCATAGGGAACCTACTCCTTTAGTTCTATTCTCATGCAAAAATTTATAAAAGTCACATTATTTAAATTCATATTTAAGTCATCTTTAGACGATTCACAAATGTAGGCATTAACTGTATTTACATTAGTCAAAGCAGTTTGTGATCCATTGTTTAAAACTCAAAAGTGAATTACTATTAGTATTCACTTAGTATGAAATACCATTATTGAAATTAGTTTGACATATTTCTGAGTCAGAAATTTTATTTATATTTTTAGATGATTCAGTTATAATCATTGATTGTTTTAAGATGTCAGTGTTGCTGGATTAATAGCAGTTTAAATGCTTTTACTTCACAGTTTAAATGCGTTACTTGTTGTGAGAAAGAAAGCAGTGTCTATATAGCTGTCATTTTCTACTCACATTGCAGATTTGTAGACACAAGATTTATATCTGTCAATTAACTACTCTGTTACTCTCCAAATATTTTAAATAATTTGTTGACTTTACTCATTTAAAGAAAAATAAATTTACAAACTATCAAGTCAATATTTCAACATTTCTTTTATCAAAACAAACAGATAAGATTATAACATTTCTGGTGATTTGTTATGTGCATCTGTTTTTTTTCCATTTCTATGTTGCATCATTTGTATTGTAATAAAAAAGACAAGATCACAAACACAACAAATGGAGAAACAAGGAATGATGACAAGAAACTAGAGATTTTGAAGGCTTTATTTGATTTAAACTGATAAAAAATTGATTTTAAACATAGCTTAGCAACTTTCATTACACTAACATGTATGTCTTTCTTACTATAGGAGATGCTCCTTAGGGCACGAATGCAGCAATTACAACAAAGTGGGGACAGTAATCTGAAGCAAGATCCATTACAGTCCGACCCATTCTTAGGTCAAAACCCCTCGTCTGACCACTCACGACAAGCTAGCACAGACAGCGGTGTTGGTAGGGTCACAGGATTATTTGTTAATTTTTTTAATGTAGAAAATAAAGATTTGATAAAGGACAGAAAATTTTGTATTTTTAAATGGTTAATTTATTATGTTCTCAAACTAAAAAAAATTATTGAATTTATTTCAAATTCCTTGAATACACAATTAGTGGTAATTTTTCTTATTTTCATTTGTTTGAATGGCACAAATATGAAGGTATGAAACCTTGAGAAATGATATCATCAAAAAATCTTCGCTGATTTTACATATATCATAAAATTACTATCAAAATAACATGAAATGCCATGCACATAAATAAAAATTGATACTATATTTGAAGTAGCTTAATATAGCAATTTAACTGTTTTTAAAGGATAGCGACATTGTATTGGCTGCTCATCTTTTACTTGGAACTAAAAGTAACACTTGTATATACGGGAAAATGTGTTCATTTAATGTGTAGTAAATCTACATTGGATTGACTCACTGACCAAACAAAACCATGTGGTTTGTAGGAATGAACTGTAGAGATGTAGTTATACAGCTTGTATTATACTAATTCATATCTAGATTGAATGCCTATATAAATAAGACAACACATCATATTTGAAAATGAATAAAAGGAGATATGGAGTAAATAACAAGGAGACAGCAACCTAACAACAGACATATGGACGTTACCATGCTGTCACATATAATTTAGACAAAATTTGCAGTTTTTTTTGCCCATTGAATCAAAAGGATACATGCAAGACTTGAAAATGTCAAAGAAAAAAACAAATAAAAGTGGTATATTTTTATATTGAAGGTGGAATGGGCACAGGGAACAGCTATAGCTTACCCAGAACTCCTGAAGATTTCCTGAGTAACGTTGATGAAATGGACTCATCAGACTCAAGTATGAGCATTGTAGTTTTATCAGAAGTTTCAATTGTTGCTTGTATGGTGTTATCAAATATCTACTGATTACATAAAGACATGGATATTTTAATGTTTAAATCAGTACGATCCTGCATGTCTGTCCTTGTGTCCTTCCTACACAGAAACACATGGATATTTTAATGTTTAAATCAGTACGTTCCTGCATGCCTGTCCTTGTGTCCTTCCTACACAGAAACACATGGATATTTTAATGTTTAAATCAGTACGATCCTGCATGCCTGTCCTTGTGTCCTTCCTACACAGAAACACATGGATATATTAATGTTTAAATCAGTACGATCCTGCATGCCTGTCCTTGTGTCCTTCCTACACAGAAACAACAAGTTTTGAGATTCATTAAAATCGCAGTGTATAGGTCCTTTTGACAACTTTTATTCAAACTTTAAATGGTATCCATGATATCACTGATGCAAATACCAGTCGACTGATTACGAATATAGAGGAAAATCATAATTAACTTTAAAAAACAATAGTGGATTCACATTAGAATGTTAGACAATTCAAACTTGGTGTTTTGATATAATGAATTCATTTTAAACTTTTGAACAGGCCACAGATTTAATGATTTTGGAGGAATGGACATTGGAAGCCTAAGTACAGATGATACCAGCAACATGGATAGTGATAATTTAGTGCCAAGTTTACAGGTATATTTTATATAATTCATATCAAGGATAACGAGAATCACCAAAAATATTAGACAGTTCAACAGACCACATCAACCACCAATGGTAGCAATATATAGTTTAGGAGTTTGGTTTCACATTTTAGCCATGGTGAATTTTTTAAATATAAAAGTTATTGTGAAATTGAATTGATTTTTAGTTAGCTGAAGAATAATATAGCCTTCAAAGTGGATTTATATGAACATGATGATTATTTTTTGCATGTTTTGTAGGCCATTTTCTGTTTGACAGTCCATATTTTCACATCTGTACCGCCCATAGATCAAGAAATTATTGTAGTGTTTTTCAACAAATATTTGACGCTTGAACTTTTAAATTCAATTTTATGGAAAAATAAGGTGAAATTCATATGATGGTTTTTTTTTTGGACCTTTTAAGAGATAAATGTCAATTGTTTCAGAAAAGGTATCATTCTAATGGATTGAAAATCTACTTTGGACCAAATGTTGGGGACTCTTTTTTATACAACCGCAAAAAAAATTTTGTGGTCGTATATTGGTATGACGTTGTCGTCGTCGTCCGAAGACACATTAGTTTTCGCACACTAACTTTAGTTTAAGCGAATGGATCTCAATGAAATTTTACCATAAGGTTCAATACCACAAAAGGAAGGTGGGGATTGATTTTGGGGGTTATGGTACCCACAGTTAAGGAATTAAGGGCCAAAAAGGGGCCAAAAATAAGCATTTTTGTAACTTCCAGACATAACTTGTATGTAAGTGTATGGATCTCTCTGACATTGTACCACAAGGTTCCATATCACAAAGGGAATGCTGGGATTGATTTTGGGGGTAATTGCCTCCAAATTTGAGGAATTAGGGGCCAAAAAGGGGCAAAAAACAACCATTTTTCTAGTTTCATGACAATAACTTGTGTGTAAGTGTATGGATCTCTCTGACATTGTATCACAAGGTTCCATATCACAAAGGGAATGCTGGGATTGATTTTGGGGGTAATTGCCTCCAAATTTTAGGGATTAGGGCCCAAAAAAGGGGCAAAAAACAAGCATTTTTCTAGTTTCATGACAATAACTTGTGTGTAAGTGTATGGATCTTTCTGAAATTGTACTACAAGGTTCCATATCACAAAGGGAAAGCTGGGTTTGAGTTTGGGGGTAATTGCCCTAAACGTTTAGGAATTTGGGGCCAAAAAGGGGCCAAAAAACAAGCATTTTTCTAGTTTCCAGACAATAACTTGTGTTCAAGTGTATGGATCTCTCTGAAATTGTACTGCAAGGTACCATACCACAAAGGGAAAGCTGGGATTGAGTTTGGGGGTGATGAATCATAAGGGGGTTCAAAAAATTGGGGGGGATTTTTTTTCCTTTTTTTTCTTTAAAATTTTCCATTTTAAATTGATTATTTCTGATTTATATATAAAAGCAAATAATAATGATATGGTTTGAATAGGCAAATTAAAAATTTTTAAGTTCTTAGACCACTTTCATTCTGTGTGAGAAACCTATGCTGTGTCAAATATTTAATTACAATCCAAATTCAGTGCTGTATCAAGCTTGAATGTTGTGTCCATACTTGCCCCAACTGTTCAGGGTTCCACCTCTGCGGTCGTATCAAGCTGTGCCCCAGCGGAGCATTTTTTTTACATTTTTACCCCCCTTTTTGCTATATTTTGTATCAAATAAATGCAGATTGTTGCCATGGTTTCACCAAAAAGAGATTATTTTTCACCATTTTAACTATTGGAAATCAAATCTATGGAAGATGCTGTTTCCATACATATGCACATTCATAATACAAACATTAAGCCTGATTTGTTAGAAAGCAAGGGAAAGAGGGTGGTTATAAATTATGAGTTAATTTTAAGTTTTTTTCCTAACTGTGTATTGCTACCAATCCTCAGATTCTTCAAAAAATACATGTACAAACAAAAACAACAGGTAACACATGGTCCACAGTGTTCTTCCCAGGATTTTAGGATAGCACCAGGGTAACGCGTGTGGACAGCTTGGTGAAATGATTCATACTATCAGTTGCGTCGCGTTGCGTTGCTTAGCTATATTTCTAGTCACTGTAGTTTTTATGTGTCTTGTTTTGTTTTAATACTGTGGTACTGTATTATGCAGACATTGAGTCAGAAAATTATTGGTAAAAAAGAAGTAAATCAAAAAACAGTTTGTTTACTTTAATATCTTTTTTAAATAAATAAAACATTATTCATTACAAAATATTCATCTAAATTTAAAGTAATTAAATCTTTTTTAAAATCCATGATCAATAAAAATAAAATATCATTCAAAAGAGAACAAAAATGTTCAATTTAAAAAACTTTCTAGTTACTAGAAAGAAAGTTGTTGTATGTTTAAGGATTCCTGTCATAAGGAGATATAAAATTAACAAGAACAAATATTGTTTTATTATTTGAACCAGTATCAATCTTAAATTTAAATAAAAAGAAATTTTTCATAAATTTTTAAACATTTTGCCATAGATTTCATGTTAATATTAACCTTTCTTGTCTTTGGTGATAATCAAACAAAGATACAGACTTAATACTGCACTCAAATCTAAATATTTATTCGTCATGATCCATTTATACAGAATTCCTAAATCTATAAATTTATCTTAATAAGTAACCATATTCAATGACAACAACAAAGTCTCCCAATTTTTCCCGCCTTAATGACAGGAAGTAGATATAAATAGATTTAACATGTGCTTATGGATAAAATTTGCAAGATTACTTCTGTTATTCATTAATTATGGATATAGATATCCAGTTAGAAGGTACAGTCATGCATTTTATTTATAAAATAGAATAGATTGCAATTAATTGTAAATATACTTGAATATGCTACGTGAACTAACTGGGTCATGTGATATGTACAGATGATTTACTTGTTGACAGATACTATAGTTTGAAACCCGACTATCATGCAATAACTATGTCCTAATTAAAATTAATTTGGCCATGGTTTAATCAGAGACATATAATACTATAATATAAGAATTGAGAAATGTATCCTTAATCAGCCAACTTTATTATGTACAAAAAATGTACCGGCTTGTTTACAACTATCGGGTCAATACTGTTTGTGTACAAAGTATATGCCGACTTGTCACAGGTCAGCGCTTGGGTGGTGAGTGGAGCCATAAAATAGTTATCTGTGACCATAAAGTTATGATCTCTTAATTAAAACACAAAAGAATTATGTAACAAGTGTTAATTACATCGATTAAATCCAATCAACAAGGTTAACCTCATAAGGTAAATCGATCACGTGGTGTAAACAATCTGTGTTGAACTGGTTTGAACTGGTCAAATTTCACCTGGAATTTTATACCGCACGGAAAAGATTTAACAAGTCGTTTAAAACTTTACCTATTTACGATTTTTTTACTGAAAATTTTAGCACCACGGACAAAAATTATACATCGCGGTAAGACCGATAGCACCACGCTCAGAAATTATACATCGCGGGCCCGCGGTCCTTTAAGGGCCTGGGGAGAACACTGGTCCAGATAGTCAGACTTGGTACAGGCACAAAATGTGGTGGAGTTAAACCAGTTTTATGTGTTGCAATAAAAAAACCTGCTCATTTCAGCTTCTGTATATCAGCATGAAAGAAATAGATATTGAAAAACTGTTAAATAGAAAATGATAAATAAAAGTACATGTATATGTAGAAAAATTTTAACAGATACAGTAAATATGCATAAAAGGAGATTATGGTAAAGGTCAATGAGACAACCAGACAAGGTCATTGTAATATTGTCTCATTGATGAAAAAAGACTTTAAAAAAAAAGAGTTGAGGCAAGATAATTCCACAGAGAAAACCATATAATTGACAGTAATGCTACATTTTGAATTAACACAGAGGAGACAGCAACTAGTGCTGATGATAATGTTGAATAAGGTCATGGACACAACATTGAAATTTTCACACTTATTTCATGTTTCATTGTGTATGTGCTTAATCTAGCATTTATCCACTAAAAACGCTTTCTTAGATAAATATATTTTAAGTACAAGTGTTGTTAGAACTTGATTTGAATAATACTTCTGAGAATTTAAAGACTTTTATAATCCATTGAGGTGTTGAAACATAAAGTGAAGCTGATAATTACATAGTACTGCTGAATTAGTTAGATGACAGACACTTGTTTGAGTTTTGATGAAATATAATGAACATGATTTTATACTGTTGAAAGTTATTTTCTGAAAAGTAATGTTTGATTTGTTTTTATTCCAGGAGGACTTATCAGGGGACTTAAATTTAAATGAAATGGACGTATTAAATAAAGATGACAATGGCCTGTTAACATGGTTATGAGGTCAAATGCCAAAGATCAAAGTTCATTGACCACATTTCAGCCATCATGTGTAAAGTGTTCTTCTTATTTTACAAATGTAGTTTTATTTCGATCATCAAAATGTTTTCAAAAGAAGAATTTCAGTTAGAACTGAGTAAAAAAAGGAAACATACTGGGAGTGGACACAGAAAAGATGATTTAAAGTATATATGTGATGGAACGCCAAAGAATATGCAGGGAAAATATAAAAAGAAAAACATATCACTTTTTTTCATAGTTCCTCATTTCATGGGATTATGGAAAACAGTTTCTAAAGCTCTTATCAATTAGAATCAAATTTTCATTATCATTTTCAGATGAGAGCTTGTAAAACGTGAGGTAAAAGTCATCTTTTCAAAATGCTTTGATGATCCAGGTCATTGTTGACAAAATACTTGATATATTCCATGTTGCAATGGTAAATGTTGTTGTCATATTTTCCCATATGGGGAGATTTTGTTTGTTTATAAATATTTAATAAATAATTATTTTTCCAGTAGGATTTTTTTTATAGAATATCAGGGAAAAATTACAAAAAAATTTTGTATTGACATATATCATGAAATATACATACACAACATCCATCATGGAGTTATACATATATACATACACAAAAAAAGTCATTTACGTTGTATCATTATTTCATAGTCAATCAAAATTTGAGTATTCAGTGAAAGGTAGAGTCGCTTTTGATATAATAAGTTGTGCAATGATATCTTCCGTCAAACAGCGGCTTTACCTCCATTTTGTTTTCTTTCTTGTTCATGTTTTGTTGATAAGCAGCAGAAACAAGTTATTTGTTGTACTACACATTCAGTTCTAAGTATCTTGTAGACTTTTCTTGACTATTGTGTATCAATTAGTACTTTGGTAATTGTAGTTTATGACTTCTTTTACTTTGTGTGAAAGATAATGAAGTTTTTAGTTATATTATTACAGTTTCAAGCTTTTATCTATCTTTTTTCTTTTTCTTTTTAGTAAATCTTATTGATTTGAGAAATCTCTTTTTATTTGTTGTGGAAAAAAGAGTGCTGATAGTTGTTTTTGTCTGATTAAAACAGGTTTTTTCATTTTCTCCATTTACTCGAATATGGCATGAATGTTGAAGGAAATCCAGTCAAAGGTCAACTTGAACGTCAAGGTCAAATGACACCAATTATCAGGTTACATTATTAATGTCGATACCAGAAAGGCATATTTATACGTCATGAACTAAAAGTTATCAATGTTCAAGAACAAGATCTTACTCAAGGATAAATTGCTTGCCTTTGATAGTGGAAAAGCTAAAGAATTAGTTTTTGTCTGGAACAATATTTTGCATTCAGCGATTTTGTCCATGAAATAAAAAATCTATTTCACAATAAAAAAAAGTAGGCTGATTTGCTTGTAGAATTTAGACTTATTTGGTTACCTTCAATGTTCATGCTGCAGTAAATAGGAAGTCTGTGAAAGTTTGATTTTAATCAGGCTGGTTATTGTTTAACCCCTTTGTGAAAGCTTATCTCTTAACTGACGTCAGTAAAATGTCATTGTGTACATGCATATTAAAATATAAATACAAAGTATATATTATTATTTCTCCAAACTATGCAATATACTCCAGTTGTATTTATTTATATGTTCAAAAAGTAGAATGGACAAAAATTATATAGAAATTGGACCAATTGAACTTAATTTTAATTTGTTTTGCTTAATTTTTAATATTCTGAGTAGCTATAGTGAAGTTTTAAATAGTGTTTTTACAGAAATGTTGGAACCTCAAAATTAAAAGAGAAGCATTTAAGAAATTTGATTTCAAAAATATATTTGATTAGAAAAGTCTGCAGATATGGAAAAAATGATTTCTGTTTTTAACTCTTTCATTTAAAAAAAAATCTTAAGATTAAATTTTGTTGGTCCGCAAAATTGAATAGGTATGTTATTAAAAATATGTATTACAGAACACTTTATATTTCTATCATTTATAATCACAAGTTTTAAATAGATAGAAAATTTAGATATTAATATCTAGTATGAAAATGTAAGAAAAAATTATATTTGAAGGTTGTAAAATATACTATATTTAGAAGGTTTTAATACTGGATTGAATATAGCGTTTCCAATGTTATTGTAATGTGTTTACTAACAGTTTGGGTCATTTAATTTTTAAAACATCTGGAAACCTCTTGTATGTTTTATTAAGATTAATAAAGAAATTGAAAATGGCCCAAAATTTTATGCAATTTTCAGTTACAAAATACTAAAAAGAATTATTTCAGAGTCTATATTTTTAATTTTCAAAGTTGTTGCTTTTAATAGTTGCCTTAGCAACTCATGTGTGATATTCGTATTAAACCTGTGATTTTTGTCAGAGATCTTTGCAATTTTTACCTCATGTATTTTAATGCTTGCTGGCAAGAGGCTGAATACAAGATTTTTTTAATGCAGCTTATGTAACATATTGAGTTCAACGGTCAGTTTTCAAATAGCAGCTCACTGTTGTTCACAGGAGAACTCATTTAAACTTTTGTTGTATTGTGTGATTCCAAATTTGTTGAATTTGTGTGACAAAATTTATTTTGATACAATCACCATTTTGATAAAAATATTCTTAATTTGGAATTGATATTTTTTTATATTTGATTAAAGGCAGTTATGATATGAGCAAAATTTACATTCCAATGTCCAAGTTAAAAGGCTCTCTGTGGGAAGAAAAAAACCTTTAGAAAGGTTTACTGTGGCATTCATATGATAATTCAATATACAGTTTTGAAGAGAATCAGGGAAATTGTTTATAAATACCCCACTGAGACCCTTGACACAATTTTTCTCACAAGGTTGAAACAACTGTCATACACAAACAACTGGTTGCTGTTTGTTGACTTGTGGTTGTCATGACAATATTTAAATCTGCCATAAGGCAGTAAGTAAATAACTTGCATATATTATTAATACTTGCATTGAGGATGTGTTTCAATAGATATTTTATTTTTTATTAGATAAGATTTATTTTTCCCCTCAACTAATGTGCATTTTTGTGGTGCTAAAATTTTGTATGTTAATAGTATTTTCAAACTTTTAGTTGCTCATTTATAGAGCTAACTATGTATAATTTGGTCGGGTGTTTTCTTAAATTTTAACGCCACAAAACTTGATAAATATAAAGAAGATGCACAGTTTTTTTTGTGTTAACTCAACCTTAGACAAGTGCTAGATTTATTTTTAGATTTCTATGTGTACAGTTAGTATTGATTTTCATTTGATATTTGTGTAGTATAATTTTATAATTTGTTTCATTTGTATAAGAATCATTTAGTTCAGTTTTTATTTCAAATCCTAGGATCAACTCTAAAATAGTTATTTTAGAACTGAGACATGAAAATCTAAATCTTCAAGTTTTTATATGTGACAAAAATAACTTTGGTATAAAAAAAAACATAAAGGTAGATCTAGAGTATTGTCTCATTGACAATCATACCACATCTTATTTTTACAGGACTAAAACTTGAGGAAAAGACATGATAAAGTTTTAGCTTTCTTTTTTATCATCTCAAAAAATCATATCTACACCTTCACACTAAATGTTTGATTTACAGGTATGAAAAGGGCTTTATCATTTCTTAAAATTCAGAAAATCATCTTTACACCTTCACATTTAATGTTGGACTGATTGTATGAAAAGGACTTTTATTCTCTCTTAATTTTAGAAAGTATCCACACTTTCACAAAAAATGTCTTACTTATAAGTATGAAAAAGGGCTGTAAAGGGGATGTTTTCACTGAAGAAAAGAAGTTTTGAATTCAAGCATAGTGCTCACTGTTGATTTGGACATGATAAGTAAAATAAAAGATAAGTAAAACAGACCCTATTAATATCAAATAGAAAATAACTCTTTTATTGCATACAGTATAAGAAAAGAAAAATACCACAATTATATAGGGATTAAACTGAAACTGGACACAACCAGAAACAACACACCAATACCTAGACATAGCATTCATTATTTATTTATTTATCTCATCCTGTTTTAGAGTTGATCAATACAAACCGTTTTGTAATGTTCAGTTATTTTTGTAAGTTTATAGACATTTTTATATTCACTTCCTCATGCATTAAATACCATGAACATTTTTCGATACTTCAACTTATGCATAGCAAGTTCAACATTGTACATATGATCTCAATAAAGAAAAGGCATGGAGATTTTAAATTTGTAAAAAAAAGTGAGAAAATTGTTATATATGTACCTTAAGCCTGGGTACTTATATTGTAAATAAAAAATCAAAAAAATCAAATAAAAATAGTAAATAAACTTGAACGTTATTTGTTTTTATTCCTGCGATGAGACTGAACAAAGGCACCATGTATTCTATTGGCCTAGACCTTTTCAGAATACAAAAGGGTTGGAGGTACCCAAGTTTTAATGAAATATAGGTAATCAGTAAATTTCAGTCTGTTTAATTATCCTCCTCCTTACAAAAATGTCACCATTTCATTGGAAGGAGCAACTTCATTTAGTCAGGTCTTCAGATTCTTGTGTCTCATGTGTGTAATTTTGAATTTCAATAGTGTTCTGAACAAAACAAGTTAGAAAGGTTCATCAAGACATCAATTGTAATTGCATGAAATGTTCTCCACAAATCAAGCTAATAATTACAGCTAGATACATTTTAATCTTTGATTGCTGAGGAAAAACTGTTACTTGTGAAGTCTATGATGTTGCTGTATGAAATCTAAGAACTACAGCAACCAATTATAAGTGTAGGACTGCATGATATCTTATCAGCAGGTTAATTACATACAACATGGTTTCATTACTCAACACCCATCAACTGTAACTTTTCTTTAAAAATCTTCTCTAAAACTGTTCAATGAATGAAAACCAAAGTTAATCTGCTTAATCTCAACGATGTCTGTGATGGACTTTATGTATTTTGTCCAGACTGATCAAACAACATGGCCACTGTGGTTTAAAATAGAACATAGAGGTCGAGCTACAGTTTTTATACGACCACAAAAAAATTTTGCAGTCTTATATTGGTATGACGTTGACGCCGTCGTCCTAAGACACATTGGTTTTCGCACTCTAACTTTAGTTTAAGTGAATGGATCTCTATGAAATTTTACCATAAGGTTCAATACCACAAAAGGAAGGTTGGGATTGATTTTGGGGGTTATGGTACCAACAGTTAAGGAATTAGGGGCCAAAAATAAGCATTTTTGTAACTTCAAGACATTACTTGTGTGTTAGTGTATGGATCTCTCTAACATTGTACCACAAGGTTCCATATCACAAGGGGAATGCTGGGATTGATGTTGGGGGTAATTGCCTCCAAATTTTAGGAATTAGGGGCAAAAAAAACAAGCATTTTTCTAGTTTCATGACAATAACTTGTGTGTAAGTGTATGGATCTTTCTGAAATTGTACTACAAGGTTCAATATCACAAAGGGAAAGCTGGAATTGAGTTTGGGGGTAATTGCCCAAAACGTTTAGGAATAAGGGGCCAAAAAGGGACCAAAAATAAGCTTTTTTTCTAGTTTCCAGACAATAACTTGTGTTTAAGTGTATGGATCTCTCTGAAACTGTACTGCAAGGTACCATACCACAAAAGGAAGGTTGGGATTGAGTTTGGGGGTGATGAATCATAAGGGGGTTCAAAAATTTGGGGGAGGGATTTTTTTTTCCTTTTTTTCTTTTTCTTTTTAAATTGGTTATTTCTGATTTATGTATAAAAGCAAATAATAATGATATGGTTTGAATAGGTAAATTAAAATTTTTTAAGTTCTTAGACCACATTCATTCTGTGTCAGAAACCTATGCTGTGTCAAATATTTAATCACAAATTCAGTGCTGTATCAAGCTTGAATGTTGTGTCCATACTTGCCCCAACTGTTCAGAGTTCGACTCTGTGGTCGTATCAAGCTGCGCCCAGCAATGCATTTTCTTGGCAAATATTTTGAAAACTATAGCAATTAAAGAAGAACTGGCACAGTAAAAATGGTCAGCACAACTAGCTCTTTCCAGAAAAATTCAGAAAAATCTTGTTGTTTTGGAGTTAATGCCTTTGACATGTTGACGTAACTTTTTTAGCTCACCATCACTTGGCATCTGTCGTCATTAACTTTTACAACAATTTTCTCTGAAACTAGCGGGCCAAATTTGATCACAATCATTATTGGGGTATCTAGTTTTAAAAATGTGTCCTATGACCCTGCCTACCAACCAAGATGGCAGACATGGCAAAATAGAAGATTGGGGTAAACTGCAAGTGTTGTCTATTATCTTGAAGCTGCTTTGAATAGAGAAAATCTAACAGGGTCAGAAATGTTGATAATAATGAGATCTACCTGCTGTTCGTTTATGCCAAAACTGTCGGATGACTTTTTTGAAGACTCATTGCCGTTTAAAAATGTCAAATTTTATCATTTTTTTTTATTTTTGTCTAATATTTTGAAAATTATGATAGTTACAAAGAAACTTTTATTAGGAAAAGATAAGCAATACAAGATTTACAAATAAGTTAACAATGGGTGAAATCATCAGACGACTCCTTATTGGATGAATTGCTCTTTAATGACAATTTTTAACAATTTTTTGCGTTTTTGCCAAATATCATAAAAAACTAATAGATAGATAGAAACATTTAAAAGGAAAAATGATCAGTAGGACAAGAACTAAAATAAATCAACATGATTGAAATCGCCAGTCGACTCCTTATTGAAGTAATTGCCCTTTTTTTTTCATGACGATTTTTACAAAAAAGTAGCCATTGTTGAAGATGCATGTGACCGATACAGGCTCGTGAGAGCATCTAGTTTAGCAGTTCTTAGCTATTGTTATGAAAATTATTGGAGCTAGGTTCAAAGTGTAAACTGCAAATATGATCAACATGGCAAGTTCTTTCTACCTGAATAATTTCAGAAAAATCTGAAAACCTGATATGTACCTATTGGCCTTGAAATGTAAGTTTGAAGCAATTTTCACAGTTTTTAAATGACTGCAAAAATTTGCGGCTGTATTTTTATGGCAATGTTGTCATCGTCCAAAGACATTTGGTTTCCAGACAATAACGAGTATAAGTTTATGGATCTCTGAAATTGTACCACAAGGTTCCATACCATGAAAGAAACGTTGGGATTGATTTTGGGGGTTATTGTCCACACTGTTTAGGAATCTAGGTCTAAAAACAAGCATTTTTCTCGTTTCAGGACAATTGTGTATAAGTGTATGGATCTCTATGATATTGTACCAATAAAGTTCCATACCAAAAAAGGACGGTTGGGATTGATATTGGGGATTCTGGCCCTAGCCGTTGAGGAATTAAGGACCAAAAGGGACCAAAAACAATACTTTTCTAAAACTTTGTATAAATTGCTTGTTTCTTGACCAATTTCAATGGGGTTTAATTCAAAGTCTTGAATTTGTGGGGTTCTGTAATATGCTGAATCTAACTGTGTATTTAGATTTTGGATTTTGGGCCCCTCTTTTAAATTGGTCCACATTGAGGTCTAAAATTCAACTTTGTTTGATTTCACCAAAAATAGAATTATTGATGTTCTTTGATATGCTCAATCTAACCGTATATTTAGATTTTTAATTTTGGGCTAGGTTTTCAAATTAGTCCAAATTGGGGTTCAAAAGTAATCTTTTGTTTGATTTCAACAAAAATTGATTATATGGGGTTCTTTGATATGCTGAATTTAAACATGTTTACTTGTTTTTGTTAATATGTCCTTTTGATCAAGTTAAGCCATTTTAATTAATATTTTATAGTGTGTCTTTCTGTTGTAATGTTACACTTCTGTTTCAGGTTTAGGGTGAAGGTTGGTACCTGTTTTAGAAAACGTTTAAACCTGCTGCATTTGTTTGCACCTGTCCCAAGTCAGGAGCCTGTTGTTCAGTGGTTGTCTTGAAGTGGTTCATAAGTGTTTCTCGTTTCTCGTTTTTATACGACCGCAAAAAATGTTTTTGGATCGAATAATGGTATGATGTCGTCGTCGTCTGAAGACACATTGGTTTCCGGACAATAACTTTAGTTTAATGAATGGATCTCTATGAAATTTTTAAAGAAGGTTCAATACCACAAAAGGAAGGTTGGGATTGATTTTGGGGATGATGGTCCCAACCGTTTAGGAATTAGGGGCCCAAAAGAAGCATTTTTCTAGTTTCAGGATAATAACTTGTGTATAAGTATTTCGATTGCTCTGAATTTGTACGACAATGTTTAATACCACAAGTAGAAGGTTGGGATTTATTTTAGGGGTTATGGGGCCAACAGTTTAGGAATTAAAAGTTTCAAAACGGGGGGGATTTTTTTTTTCCAATTTTTTAAGAGGATTCATATTTTTTTTTTTAATTTTCAAATTTTGAATTTTTGAAAAGTTTCAAGAAGAAATCTTCAATTGCACAGCATTGCGCAATAGATTTGTAAGATCTTTGACCACATTTATTTTGTGTCAGAAATCTATATTATGTCAAAATTTGATCACAATCCAAATTCAGACAGTATCAAGCTTGAATATTGTGTCCAAATTTGTACCAACTGTTCAGGGTTCGACCTCTGCGATCGTATCAGGCTGTGCTCAGTGAAGCATTTTATTTATATAGATTAGACCGTTGGTGTTCTTGTTTGAATTGTTTTACACTAGCCATTTTGGGGCCCTTTATAGCTTGCTGTTCGGTGTGAGCCAAGGCTCTGTGTTGAAGGCTGTACCTTGACCTATAATTGTTTACTTTTCACACATTGTGACTTGGATGGAGAGTTGTCTCATTGGCACTCATAGCATATCTTCTTATTGAGGTTGGATTTTGGGCCCTGTTGTCAAATTGGTACACATTGAGATCCAAATTTTGTTTGATTTCATCAAAAATTGAATTCTTGGGGTTCTTTACTATGCTGAATCTAACCATGGATTTAGATTTTGGATATTGGACCATAATAGGTTAAAGTCCAATTTCACAATTTTTTAAGTTCTTAGACCACATTTATTGTGTCAGAAACCCATGCTATGTCAAATAATTAATCACCATCCAAATTCAGAGCCGTATCAAGCTATCTTCTTATTTATATTGAATGTTGTGTCCATACTTGCCCTAACTGTTCAGGGTTCAATCTCTGTGATCGTATCAAGATGTGCACTGCAAAGCATTTTATTAACTTATAAATTATAGGAGCAAGGTCAAAGGTGTAAATTGCAAAAATGATCACAAGATCTGCCTACCCAGAAAATTGGAGAAAAATCAAATTATCATACCTGTTTTGGAGTTATTTCCCCTGAAATATCTATTGTTTTCAAATATTTTTGTAAACAGATAGGAGTTAGATTAAAAGTGTAAATTGCAAAAAATGATCAGCTCAAAATCTTTTTACTCTGAATATTTCAGGAAAATATGTCAACCTGTGTAAGTTAATGCCCCTAAAGTATACAGTTTTATACACATGTCTTTAAAAACAGGACGTATTATGGTATACCGTTATTTGTCCATCTGTCGTCAACACTTCGGACAGTAACTCAAAAATGCTTTCACCAATTTTCATGAGACTTTGGTGAATTGGTTATATATATTGAAATAAGTTCCTTTTCTATTTTTAAAAATTTACTGATTTTTTGTTTTGGAGTATAGGGACTATTCATTAAAAGGGGAGATTTTCCAGTTTTTGTACAATAACTCCAAAATTCTTTGAGCAGTTTTCCTAAAACTTTGGTGACTTGTTTCTATCTATTGAAATAAGTTCACTTTTGTTTTTTTTTAAATTTCTGATATGACATTGTTGAGTTATTGATTTTTACTAACATTGACTGCGTAGACAGAGTTCTTGAAAAGGGGTGGTCGAAATGTCCTGGCCAACGATTTTGCACAGGACTGACACAATTTTGGTATTTTGCAATAAAAACAATAGTGAGGACCAGCAGATTTTCTTCAAGGACCACCAGGGAAAAAAGATTTCAAGAGCTCTATTTTTAAATAATATACCGCCGGTACCATAATTAGTCAATTATATGGTATTGGTTTTTATACGACAGCAAAAAATTTTTTGGGGTTCGTATAATGGTATCATGTCATCGTCGTTGTCGTCTGCGTCATCGTCGTTGTCTGAAGACACATTTTGTTTCCAGACAATAACTTTAGTTTAAGTGAATGGATCTCTAGGAAATTTTATCAGAAGGTTCAATGCCACAAAAGGAAGGTTGGGATTGATTTTGGGGGTTATGGTACAAACAGTTTAGGAATTAGGGGCCAAAAAGGGGCAAAAATAAGCATTTTTGTTGTTTCCCGACAATAACTTGTGTGTAAGTGTATGGATCTCTCTGAAATTGTACCACAAGGTTTCATATCTCAAAAGGAAGGCTTGGATTGAGTTTGGGGGTATTTGCACCAAACGTTCAGGAATTAGGGGCAAAAAAGGGGCCAAAAACAAGCAATTTTCTAATTTCCAGACAATAGCTTGTGTTTAAGTGTATGGATCTATCTGAATTTGTACAAGGGACCATACAACAAAGGGAAGGCTGGGATTGAGTTCGGGGGTCTTTACTCCAAGGGGGGGGGGGGGTCAAAAAGTTGGGGGGGGGAGGATTTTTTTTTTTTTTAATTTTTTAATTTTTACATTGATTATATCAGACGATACTTCAAATTTTTATGATCTTTGACCACATTTATTTTGTGTCAGAAACCTATACTATGTCAAAAATTCGACCACAATCCAATTTCAGACAGTATCAAGCTTGAATATTGTGTCTAAACTTGCCCCAACTGTTCAGGGTTTGATCTCTGTGGTCGTATCAGGCTGTGCTTGGCGAAGCAATTTATTCTTATTGTTGAAGGCTGTATGGTTGCCTTTAATTCCTCACATCCACTTCATTTGAACTTTGGAGGTTTTGACTCATTGGCAATCATACCACATCTGCTTATTTTTATTTAGATAGTGGCTCAAACAAAGTCTTTTTCTTTGATCAAGTTAATCTGCTCTTTATTTATTACTATTTTCACTGTTTTTCTGTTAGTTTTAAAACTTTAGGAGCTAGGTTAAAAGTGTAAAATGTGAAAATGATCGGCATGACAAGATCTACAGACGCCATCATGAGTTGGTTGACTGTTATGGAATATCTTAAATCACACATTGACCTGAGATATGTTCTATATGTTGTAGTAATTTTCCTGTCCTTTTCTTCTCGATTGTTACATCACCAAATGACTTATTACTGAGTTTGAATGTACCATGATCAACACCATAGGTGCCACATCTAAAGCAGAGATTGCTTCTGAGGCACATGATATGATTTTCGGTGGAGCTTGTATTACTCAGTCATTAGTTTTTATGCGACCGCAAAAAGTTTTTGTGGTCGTATATTGGTATGACGTTGGCGTCGTCATCATCGTCGTCGTCCGAAGACACATTGGTTTTCGCACAATAACTTTAGTTTAAGTGAATGGATCTCTATGAAATTTTACCATAAGGTTCAATACCACAAAAGGAAGGTTGGGATTGATTTTGGGGGTTATGGTACCAACAGTTAAGGAATTAGGGGCCAAAAATAAGCATTTTTGTAACTTCCAGACAATAACATGTGTTTAAGTGTATGGATCTCTCTGATATTATACCACAAGTTTCCATACCACAAAGGGATGGTTAGGATTGGCTTTGGGGGGGTTATGGCTCAAACCGTTTAGGAATTAGGGGCAAAAAAAGGGAAAAAAACAAGGGTTTCCTGGTTAATGGACAATTTAAAAGCAGTGTAAGGGAGGTAATCCAAAAACAAAATTGTACAATGTTGTACAATGTTGGATTACCTCCCTTACACTGCTTTTAAATTATCTATTTAAGACTTTTATGATGTATTTAAATTCGTAATTATGGTTGCAAACTCCATGGGAAATTTGAATTGAGATTATGACCATATTTTGACAGAAGGAATTTTTTTTGGTGGAAAATGGGGGTTGGGTAAAAAAGAAATTGTGGGGGGGAACATTTTTATTTCATTTCAGATTTCAGAAATTAAAAAGAATTTTTTTTTTTTTTTTGGGGGGGGGGGGGGGGGGGGGGTCAATATGCAACAGCATAGTGTATTTCACAAAAGCAAAAAAAAAGGGGGGTAACATTTTTTTTTTTGTTTGGGGGGGGGGAGGGGGGGTGTGTGAATTCGCAACAGCATTGTGTATTGCACAAAAGCGAAAACTGTTCAGGGTTGGGCCTCTGCAGTCGTATCCAGCTGCGCTCAGCCAAGCATTTTATTGTGTAGTGTTTTGTAGACTGTTGACTGTCTTTTTTATTGTATTTTGTTTTTGCCATAAATTTTTTCGTGTCTCTGACTTTTGAGTTATGATTCTCCCTTTGGTATCCCCCCCCTTTTTATAGGTATGAAGATAACTTTTAAGAAATAAAAGTATATAAATTGACCTAGTCACAAACTTGTACATGTAAATTATGCAAAAGTTTAAAAGTAAAGTGGCCATAATAATCTTCATTGAATTGAGATTTGCTAATGCCAATGCACTTGCACATCAAATATCATTGACTTTAATACCCTTAAAATAACCCAATCTAAAAAATATGTTTTATGGGGAATGGGTATAAAAAATCTCTATGAAAATAAGATGTGCCATGTGCTATGTGCAAAAATAGGACCACAATGCAATTTCTGACTACAGATTTTCTGAGAGTGTAGAAAAACTGCACACAGTCATATGAATAGATGAAGAGACACTATATGACCTGCCTCAGTGGGTTAGGTCTAATGATTAAAAATAACCCACAGTAAATTATTCATAAATAATATAAACTGTTAACACAGAGATATGTCTCGCCTTTTTGTTATTTTAATAGTAAAATGCTAATGTTGATATAAAATAGCAATACCTTAACATGTAAGTTATGCAAAATATTAATATTTAGTCAATGAACCACGACTCAAGGTACAGGGCCAAACAATCTCCTTGGAAATGAGATGTGCCAATGCTTATACAACTGCATTCCAAATATCATAAGGGGTTTCCCTTAAACTGACCTAATCATAAACCAATGTATGTAAACTATGCAAAAGTTTCAAAGTCAACCATAACTGAGGGGGTTGGGCCAAATAATATCCATGTAAATGAAATGAGCTAATGCTAACATAGCTGTATACCAAATATCATTGACCTACCAGTGGTTCCCTATAAACTGACCTAATCACAAACTAATATATATAAACTAAGCAAAAGTTTCAAAGTCAATAGATAATGACTGAGGGGGCAGGGCCTAATGATCTCCATGGAAATGAGATGAGCCAATGATAATACACTGCATACCATATATCATTGACCTACCACTAGTGGTTCCCAATAAACTGACCTAATCACTAACTAATACGTTGTTGACGCTGCCACTGCCGCCGACGACACTGTCGGAAACAACATACCTAAGTCTTGCCTTTTGACTCTTGTCAAGGTGAGACAATACCATATAACAAAACACAACATATATTGATATTTTAATTTTTTAATTGAAAATGATCTAACAATGACTCAGTCATATTTCAATACATGTATATATAATTATACTACATGTACTTTCAAAGTTGAAAACAAACTCTCATGCTATTTTTCTTTTTTCATATGTTCCTGACCATACTAATGTTAGTTCATACATATACTTACACATATCTCTTTAATGGTTAACAGAAAATTTTGACTTCCTTGCAAGATATATTTAAGCATAAACCAAATATTTGTTAACTCATTTTCATGGTTTGGGAACATATAAAAATTTGTTGAGTATCTCTTTTTGTGATTTATAGAAAAGAAACTCTAGTTTTGCAAATGACAAATTTACTGGCTAATAAGTAAATTTTATGTAGAAACAAACTGTATGGATATATGTATGAAACTTTGGAATGGAGATCAATTATAACAATACAACAACTATCATGATTTCTGAAATATCATACAATAACACTGACTCATTGGTCATCCATACAGAATAAGTGGCAATCATTTCACTCTCTCATACAAATTAACAGAAACCTCAGATACATTACTTTACTAAATTATGAAAATGACAGTACGCAACTTGAAGATAAACAAATCTTAGGTTTTACAACCAATGTAAACAGGTAAAATTAAAAGTGACATGTTATTTTTTACCCCTCAAACCCTCCCAAAAAAGACTTGAGAATGTTTATTTTTTTTATCACACTGATGTTTTTATTCTTATCCTATACAATAAAATAAATGGAATTCCAATGACTACCGATATTGCACTTTATATCTTTTCTAAATTCCATCATTAAAGTAGCTGGAGGTCAGTCAAATTTAAAAAAAGAAGTTTAATGCAGTTTCATATGTAAATTTGAAGTGATATAAAAGATAGTGGATACTAAATATATTCCCTATCACTGTTTTCTTATCATTCAGAGTGTACAAATAACTTAACTTTATCTTTCTGATTACAATACAAAATAAATATTGTAAACAATTAAAATAGAATTTCATTTAACAAAAAATAATGTCAAATTTTACAGAAAAAACAAATTGCTCTGTGAATACCACATCATGTTTATACTTTGAAGTGTACAGCATTGAAATTGTCCATTATTGACTTGCATGTAAGATTCAGTTATCTTGAAAAATCAAACATGGGTCCCTCTGAATAGTGTTTTATTTTTACCAGAGCTGACATTTTCATGTTTATAATTTTCCCCAAAAATTCTGGCATTCTGCTTCTTTCCTGGCAGTACTAATTTTAATTCACTTGAACAAGTAAAATAAATGCAATAATAAAATAAGTTAGAGTTAATTAAAGTAACCTACTGGAAGACAATACTTACTGAAAACATACATAAAAAATTCCCATGTGCTGCAAAATTATCACTATAACAAAAGTATAATTATATGTCTTTTTTTTAATCTAAGTAAGCAAACAAAAAAAAAACATGTTTCAATACCTGAAAGGTTAATGTGACAGAAATTAAGTAGCTAAAACAATCATATATGAATACTTTGAAAGTCAGACAATAGACACATATAAACAATGATTCACTTCACATTACATCTTTCATCTAAATCATTTATACTTAGTTTACATTATATATATGAGAAAAAAAAGGACTACCCATTACCTATCCACATTTCCACAATGTTCTAATTATGAACAGCAATTCTGAGATCTGAAAGTACCGGTATTCTATGTATATCTAGGTTTTAATCTTGACTTGTCACAATATCTTACACTTATTCTTTTTCTTGGTTGCATATGAATCGTAAACCTGAGTCTTGAAAGTATTGTTCGGTAATGAAAGGTATTGAAAAAATATGTCATTGATAAATTTTATTAATATCATTAACATTACGATTGTCTAATAAATCAGTTCAAATTTCTGGTTCTGCATATTGTTGTCTTAATGTAGAATTGAAATGATAAGAATCGTAAATACTAAAAGTCTCTAAAACACTTGCATTATTTAGCAACCAAATAAAAGTCTTGTAAATACTTTATAAGTGATAAAAACTGAGTGAATTTCAGTTAACTAGACATGTGATGTTTTCTTCAAATCCTTCAAGAACAAACAGGAAAAAGTTCAAAACATTTCAGTACAACTTACAATCAATTTTTGTACTTTAATAGTGTTATCATAACGATAAACAAATATTTACACAAAAAGAATTTAAGAGGTTTTATTTCTCATTTGGAAAACAAACAAAGATTTTGTGTTTCTTATAGATAAATGATTCAGCACAAATAATCATGCACTTTTAATCAAAAAATTTGACAGGATTTTTCCATGATTTAATTTTCAAACAGGAAATTCATTTGTTATTATCAGTAGATATACAAGAATCTTAAGTTTCCACAGGTTTAGGTTCTTACTTTTGATATCCAACGAACTAAACCCAGAATTTTAATCTGATACTAAATTAAGTAATTGTTAAAGATATTGATGCATATTTTGTTGAGGAACATCATGATTTGCAAAATACTAATTCTGTTAACAGGGTATAATATCATAAGAAAGCATCCATTTTTACACTACTATTGTGTAAAATATACCATTAAATTTATGCAAGTCCAGCTCATTCAAAAAAAAATACTAACAAAGTTATACAACTCAAATAACAACTTAAGCACATGATTAATCTTAAATATTGGTCATATGGTCCCTTGTTGACCTAAAAAAATGTTTTATAAATCATTTTTACTGTTTAGAACAAAGAGTAAATGTTAACAATAAAAATTCAAGAATGATAAATTAGTATAGATTTACATATATGTATAACTAAAATCTGAAGATTCAACTGTCAAATTTAAAACTAGTTATTAAGTAGTCGTTATAACTCGTCATGGTAACCTAATTTTGCACCTGAAAAAGAAAAAAGGACAAAAGTTAAATAAACCAATAAATGGATAACAAATTTTACCAAAATGTTTGACAATAATGTCAATATTCTGCCCAAGTTTAAACAAATACTTATTTATGATATCCATACCTGTAAATATAAAAAAATACATTATTCACTTTCATACTGAAGGCAAAGTAAAAGGGTCTGGTATAGGCAACACCCCTCCCCACTTTTCTGAAGATTAATTTACTCAAAGCATTTACAATTGAATGTTTTGGTGACATATATAAAGGTTTGATGAACCAACACTTTCTTTGGAACAATAAGGTAAGGTGACCTAGAGTGAATACATATATAGTTTGGTATGGTTGCATTTCAATAGATAATAAAAATATACCACAGTCTACAAATAAAAGAATGTGTGTGAGGACACAAATGACCCGCTCCAGCTTTGCAATTTTCCAAGTTAAAAAGGGGCATAACTCTAGAACGGTACAAGACTTACTGCCCAAATTCAAACTCTGTCTGCATATTGCAATTCTTAGCCTTGTGTACGAGTTTCATAAAATGTGGATGAGACAAACTTAGATTAGAGTGCATAAACTGAAACATTTGCAATTTTCAAAGTTATAAAGGGGTATAACTCTAGAACAGCAAGTGACTCACTGCCCAAATTCAAACTGTGTCTGCAAGTTTTAGTTCTTAGCATTGTGTATGAGTTTCATAAAATTTGGATGAAAACGTAAGTTAAAGTGCGGAAATGAAAATTTGACAGACGGAAGGACAGTCAAGGGTAACACTTAACACCCCATTGCCTATGGCCAGGGGCATAAAAATATGGCTGTAGTATTACACAGCGTTTATCAGAAAGTTTTTTAAGTGAGAGTAAAGGTCAAAACAAAAATAAAATGAAATTCAACTTTAGTATTTGAACAATACAACTGCATTTTTGTATACTTGATGCATTTTTGATATGATGTCATGTCATGTGAGAAGACATCACTCTTTGAAGTGAAACTGGTCAACATAAAACACCCTAAACCAAATGATAACTTGAAGTGTTATCTTTATATGTTCTTTACAATTCTAAATCAATAAAATTTCAAAGACAATAAATATTTCTTAGTTTATATCAGCCTTTTTCCCCCTCTCCAGTTAAACTTGTATTGCTCTTACCTATTTCTTTAGTATCTATTTTTGGTGCTTCATACTCTAGTTGACTCCTTGTATTTGTACCATATATTTTATCCCATAAAACTTTTATTTCATAATCATATTCTTTCCATTCAGGTGCTATTCGTAATGCTGCTTTTAATTTTGGCTCTTTTGTTAATGGATTATTGCACTGAAATAACTAGAGGCTCTAAAGAGCCTGTGTCGCTCACCTTGGTCTATGTGAATATTAAACAAAGGACGCAGATGGATTCATGACAAAATTGTGTTTTGGTGATGGTGATGTGTTTGTACATCTTAATTTACTGAACATTTTTCCTGCTTACAATTATCTCTATCTATAATTAACTTGGCCCAGTAGTTTCAGAGGAGAAGATTTTTGTAAAAGATTACTAAGATTTACGAAAAAATGGTTAAAAATTGACTATAAAGGGCAATAACTCCTAAAGGGGTCAACTGACAATTTCGGTCATGTTGACTTATTTGTAGATCTTACTTTGCCGACATTTATTGTTTTTTACAGTTTATCTCTATCTATAATAATATTCAAGATAATAACCAAAAACAGCAAAATTACCTTAAAATTACCAATTCAGGGGCAGCAACCCAACAACGGGTTGTCCGATTCATCTGAAAATTTCAGGGCAGATAGATCTTGACCTGATAAACAATTTAACTTTTTGTCAGATTTGCTTTAAATGCTTTGGTTTTTGAATTAAAAGCCAAAAACTGAATTTTACCCCTATGTTCTATTTTTAGCCGTGGCGGCCATCTTGGTTGGTTGACCAGGTCACGCCACACATTTTTAAAACTAGATAACCAAATGATGATTGTGGCCAAGTTTGGTTTAATTTGGCCCAGTTGTTTCAGAGGAGAAGATTTTTGTAAAAGATGACTAAGATTTACGAAAAATGGTTAAAAATTGACTATAAAGGGCAATTACACCTAAAGGGGTCAACTGACCATTTCAGTCATGTTGACTTATTTGTTAATCTTACTTTGCTGAACATTATTGCTGTTTACAGTTTATCTCTATCTATAATAATATTCAAGATAATAACCAAAAACAGCAAAATTTCCTTAAAATTACCAATTCAGGGGCAGCAACCCAACAACAGGTTGTTCGATTCATCTGAAAATTTCAGGGCAGATAGATCTTGACCTGATAAACAATTTTACTTCGTGTCAGATTTGCTCTAAATGCTTTGGTTTTTGAGTTACAAGCCAAAAACTGCATTTTACCCCTATGTTTTATTTTTAGCTGTGGCGGCCATCTTGGTTGGTTGGCCGGGTCACGCCACACATTTTTTAAACTAGATACCCCAATGATGATTGTGGCCAAGTTTGGTTTAATTTGGCCCAGTTGTTTCAGAGGAGAAGATTTTTGTAAAAGATGACTAAGATTTACGAAAAATGGTTAAAAATTGACTATAAAGGGCAATTACTCCTAAAGGGGTCAACTGACCATTTCGGTTATATTGACTTATTTGTAAATCTTACTTTGCTGAACATTATTGCTGTTTACAGTTTATCTCTATCTATAATAATATTCAAGATAATAACCAAAAACAGCAAAATTTCCTTAAAATTACCAATTCAGGGGCAGCAACCCAATAACAGGTTGTCCGATTCATCTGAAAATTTCAGGGCAGATAGATCTTGACCTGATGAACAATTTTACCCCATGTCAGATTTGCTCTTAATGCTTTGGTTTTTGAGTTATAAGCTAAAAACTGCATTTTACCCCTATGTTCTATTTTTAGCCGTGGCGGCCATCTTGGTTGGTTGACCGGGTCACGCCACACATTTTTAAAACTAGATACCCCAATGATGATTGTGGCCAAGTTTGGTTAAATTTGGCCCAGTAGTTTCAGAGGAGAAGATTTTTGTAAAAGTTTACGGACGACGGACGACGGACGACAGACGCAGGACGACGGACGCAGGACGACGGACGACGGACGCAAAGTGATGAGAAAAGCTCACTTGACCTTTCAGGTCAGGTGAGCTAAAAATAAAACAAGTGGTATTGAGATCAAAATTCACAAAATGATTACCCCTCCCTTGTATTTATCTTAATATACAAAGAATTGACCTTGACTTTGCAGACAGACATTACAACCTCATTCCTAAGCATCCTCTGGTGATGGTCAACAATAATATTAAGTATCATTAACATCCTTTAAGGCATTCAAAATTCCTGAGTTAGACAAGACTTTAACATTTTGTCATTTTAGGAAATTAAGGGTTTAAGCAGATTTTTGATAGTCTCAGATAAATTTATTTACTACTTTTCTATACCTTTTTATGATTTATAGCTTGACATATTGCATAGACAGCTTACTATTGTTTACAACTGTATATTGACCTCCTGTTTTTTTTTTCAATTTGTTGTGCTGTTATGTTGACGTTTCTTTGAATGCATTGGTCTCAGACCAAAATGTAATCTAATTTAAAGCTTAATTGATAATAAAATAAGTAGAGGACATCATTTCATGATTCAAACCACAAGCTTAACCATCTGTCTTATTAGCTCTACCAATGGTTGTATGTTTAAACATTATTTTCATCACTTTACAACAGCCATTCTGTGGTAATAATTCATATGTCACTAGTTATATAATATCACTTACCAGATCTATAGTTTTAGCCTTAGCTTTAGATTCATCACTACACCAAGTGGCACACCACAGCCACTCCTGTGGCAATGATTTAATGCTAACTTGGTGTATCATATTGTTAGGTAAATCTTGATCTAAATTAGATAAACTGTTAGGATCCTGACTCAATCCTTGATATTGTCCACGTAATCTGTCACCAGCTGCTATCTTTCGGAATTTTTTCAAGTCTACTACATATAAAGCACTGAAAAATGAAAACTAATATTTTATTATCTCATTGCAGACAAATTTGCCGCAACAATTTGTTACTGCTTATCAGATATGTTAAAATAATATCAAATTTCAGAAATGTTTAAATGACATATAAAAGTAAAAACCGTACAAAATGGCATCTGATAAAATTCTGATTTGATTATTTTCATTTTAATATTCAAAAATTCCAACAAACTACCTGATATGATATTTTCTTCCAGCTAAATGACTGGCCCAATAACCTGATTTCCAAAATCTACAATGAAAAAAATATTATTTCCAGAGTTATTATCAATATAAACCAATTTAAAATAACTTAGCAATTGAACTGCAGGAATAATAGCAATTTACTTTGTATGAATAAATTACATGGATGAATTCATTTCCTTAAGCAAGTGCATTGCCATATTTTTCATTTTACTTTTATTTTGCTGAATTGTATAAATATATGATTTTTGCTTAAATATGAACTACATAACATCCTTTCTTATTGCTTAAATCTTTCCAATATTGACAATGATTTTTTATAGTTACATTATATGTGGGAAAAATGTGTCTGAAGACATGAGTGCCCCTCTCAAGCTTTCTTATAATACATGGAAAAATTCCTGAGAGCATTTGATGACACTGCTACTTTTTAAAGAGTTCTATTGTTCTAATCTTGAGTATTTTTTTTCTGAGTGTTATTTTCATACTTTCTCTGTTTTAAACTTTAAATGAGGGAAACTTAAGTTAGAGAGCAGAAATGAAAAAAATTGCAATTTTCCAAGTCATAAAGGGACATAAATCTAGAACAGTGACTCACTAGCCCAAATTCGAACTCTGTCTGCAAGTTTTGGTTCTTAGCATTGTGTGTTAGTTTCATAAAATTTGCATATGCAGACTTAAGTTAGAGTGTGTAAACAAAACTAGAGGCTCTTAAGAGCCTGTGTCGCTCACCTTGGTCTATGTGAATATTAAACAAAGGACGCAGATGGATTCATGACAAAATTGTGTTTTGGTGATGGTGATGTGTTTGTACATCTTAATTTACTGAACATTTTTCCTGCTTACAATTATCTCTATCTATAATTAACTTGGCCCAGTAGTTTCAGAGGAGAAGATTTTTGTAAAAGATTACTAAGATTTACGAAAAAATGGTTAAAAATTGACTATAAAGGGCAATAACTCCTAAAGGGGTCAACTGACAATTTCGGTCATGTTGACTTATTTGTAGATCTTACTTTGCCGACATTTATTGTTTTTTACAGTTTATCTCTATCTATAATAATATTCAAGATAATAACCAAAAACAGCAAAATTACCTTAAAATTACCAATTCAGGGGCAGCAACCCAACAACGGGTTGTCCGATTCATCTGAAAATTTCAGGGCAGATAGATCTTGACCTGATAAACAATTTTACTTCATGTCAGATTTGCTTTAAATGCTTTGGTTTTTGAATTAAAAGCCAAAAACTGAATTTTACCCCTATGTTCTATTTTTAGCCGTGGCGGCCATCTTGGTTGGTTGACCAGGTCACGCCACACATTTTTAAAACTAGATAACCAAATGATGATTGTGGCCAAGTTTGGTTTAATTTGGCCCAGTTGTTTCAGAGGAGAAGATTTTTGTAAAAGATGACTAAGATTTACGAAAAATGGTTAAAAATTGACTATAAAGGGCAATTACTCCTAAAGGGGTCAACTGACCATTTCAGTCATGTTGACTTATTTGTTAATCTTACTTTGCTGAACATTATTGCTGTTTACAGTTTATCTCTATCTATAATAATATTCAAGATAATAACCAAAAACAGCAAAATTTCCTTAAAAGTACCAATTCAGGGGCAGCAACCCAACAACAGGTTGTTCGATTCATCTGAAAATTTCAGGGCAGATAGATCTTGACCTGATAAACAATTTTACTTCATGTCAGATTTGCTTTAAATGCTTTGGTTTTTGAATTAAAAGCCAAAAACTGAATTTTACCCCTATGTTCTATTTTTAGCCGTGGCAGCCATCTTGGTTGGTTGACCAGGTCACGCCACACATTTTTAAAACTAGATAACCAAATGATGATTGTGGCCAAGTTTGGTTTAATTTGGCCCAGTTGTTTCAGAGGAGAAGATTTTTGTAAAAGATGACTAAGATTTACGAAAAATGGTTAAAAATTGACTATAAAGGGCAATTACTCCTAAAGGGGTCAACTGACCATTTCAGTCATGTTGACTTATTTGTTAATCTTACTTTGCTGAACATTATTGCTGTTTACAGTTTATCTCTATCTATAATAATATTCAAGATAATAACCAATAAAATGCTCTGCTGGGGCGCAGCTTGATACGACCGCAGAGGTCGAACCCTGAACAGTTGGGGCAAGTATAGACACAACATTCAAGCTTGATACAGCACTGAATTTGGATTGTAATTAAATATTTGACACAGCATAGGTTTCTCACACAGAATGAAAGTAGTCTAAGAACTTAAAATTTTTTAATTTACCTATTCAAACCATATCATTATTATTTGCTTTTATATATAAATCAGAAATAACCAATTTAAAATGGAAAATTTTAAAGAAAAAAAAGGAAAAAAAAATCCCCCCCCCAAATTTTTTGAAACCCCCTTATGATTCATCACCCCCAAACTCAATCCCAGCCTTCCCTTTGTGGTATGGTACCTTGCAGTACAATTTCAGAGAGATCCATACACTTGAACACAAATTATTGTCTGGAAACTAGAAAAATGCTTGGGTTTTTTGCACCTTTTTGGCCCCAAATTCCTAAAAGTTTAGGGCAATTACCCCCAAACTCAAACCCAGCTTTCCCTTTGTGATATGGAACCTTGCAGTACAATGTCATAAAGATCCATACACTTACACACAAGTTATTGTCATGAAACTAGAAAAATGCTTGTTTTTTTGCCCCTTTATGGCCCCTTATTCCTAACATTTTGAGACAATTACCCCCAAAAACAATCCCAGCCTTCCCTTTGTGGTATGGTACCTTGCAGTACAATTTCAGAGAGATCCATACACTTGAACACAAGTTATTGTCTGGAAACTAGAAAAATGCTTATTTTTGGCCCCTTATTCCTAAACGTTTTGGGCAAGTACCCCCAAACTCAATTCCAGCTTTCCCTTTGTGATATGGAACCTTGTAGTACAATTTCATAAATATCCATACACTTACACACAAGTTATTGTCATGAAACTAGAAAAATGCTTGTTTTTTGCCCCCTAATTCCTAAAATTTGGAGGCAATTACCCCCAAAATCAATCCCAGCATTCAAACCCTCAATCAGCATCATTTAACAGTAATATCTAAAAATGGAAATTACATAATAAAGGTATTAAAATAGAAAATAACATCATAGTCATGGCTAAAAATAAACAAAATCCTTAATCAGCAACATTTTACAGTAATATCTAAAAATAAAATTCCTTTGTAACCATAAAAGCCCATTTAAATACATCATGACAGATATTAAAATAGAAAATGACATCATAGTCATGGCTAAACATAGCAAAAACCTTAATCAGCATCATTTAACAGTAATATCTAAAAATAAAAATTTCTTTGCAACCATAAAAGTAAAATAGAAAATGACATCATAATCATAGCTAAAAATAAACAAAAATTTTTTTTATTACCAAATTTTAAATGGAGTTTATTAAACTAAAACAATAAATTTGCAACCATAAAACCCCATTTAAACACATCATAAAAGTATTAAATAATTCAACTACATCATAAGGCTATAAAAATAGAAAATGACTTCATAGTCAAGGCTAAAGGTAAACAAAAAACCTTCATCAGCAAAATTTTATATTGGCAAATTTCCAATGAAGTTTATTATACTAAAATTGTTGGCAAATTTCCAATGCATTTATTAACAATAAAGTTATTGGCAAATTTCCAATTTACATAATTTAAAAGCAGTGTAAGTGAGATATTTAAATGAGTTTGAATTACCAACCTTACACTGCTTTTAAATAATGTTTTGTACTTATTTGTCTATTAACCTGGAAACCCTTGTTTTTTCACCTTTTTTTCCCTTATTATTTAAAGGTTTGAGCCATAACCCTACCCCAAAGCCAATTCTTAAATTCCAATGTAACCTAAATTTACAATATACATAACTTCAATTTAAGTTTTTAATAAAATCAAACCACATCATTATTATTTGCTTTTATATCTAAATCAGAAATAATTAACCAACTTTAAGTGGAAAATTTTCACACATCACGCCCCCCCAAACTCAATCCCAGCCTTCAGTTTGTGGTATGGTACCTTGCAGTACAATATCACAGAGATCCAATTACTTAAACACAATTAATTGTTGGAAACTAAAAAAAAATGCTTATTTTTAACCCCTTTTTTAGCCCCTTATTCCTAAACATTTGAGCAATTATCCCCCAAACTCAATTCCAACTTTCTCTTTGTGATCAGAATTAACCAACTTAAAATGGAAAATTTTAAAGAAAAAAAAAAGGAAAAAAAATCCCCCCCCCCCCAAAAATTTTTTGACCCACTTCCCTTTGTGGTATGGTACCTTTAAGTACAATTTCAGAGAAATCCATACACTTGAACACAAGTTAATGTCTGGAAACTAAAAAAATGCTTATTTTTGCCCCCTTTTTTGGCCACTTATTAATAAATGTTTTGGGCAAACATTTTACAATAATATTTAAAACTGAAATTAATTTGTAACCTTAAAATTAAATAGAAAATGACATCATAGTCATAGCTAAAAATAAACAAACTATTGGTAAATTTCCAATGGAGTTTATTATATTAAAACAATAAATTTGCAACCATAAAAGCGCATTAAAATACATCATAAAAGTATTAAAAAAAATTTAACTACATCATAAGGCTATTAAAATAGAAAATGACATCATAGTCAGACTAAAGGTAAACAAAAAACCTTCATCAGCAAAATTTTATATTGGCAAATTTCCAATGAAGTTTATTATACTAAAATAATTGGCAAATTTCCAATTTACATAATTCAAACATAGTGCAGGTGAGATATTTAAATGAGTTTGAATTACCAACCTTACACTGCTTTTAAATAATGTTCTTTACTCAATTATTTGTCTATTAAAATGGAAACCCTAGTTTTTTAACCTTTTTTCCCCTTATTCCTTAAACGAAAAAAAATAATTACCCCTTTTTTGACCCCCCACCCCCCTATGATTCATCAACCCCCCCCCCCCTTCCCCCCCAAACCAAGCTCAATAACAGCCTTGCCTTTGTGGTATGGTACCTTGTAATACAATTTTAGAGAGATCCATACACTTGAACACAAGTTATTGTCTAGAAACTAAAAAATGCTTATTTTTCACCCCTTTTTAGGCCCCTTATTACTAAACGGTTTGGGCAATTACCACAAAACTCAATTCCAGCTTTCCCCTTGCGAAATGGAACCTTGTAGTAAAATTTCAGAATGATCCATACACTTACACACAAGTTATTGTCATGAAACTAGAAAAATGCTTGTTTTTTGCCCCCTTTTGGCCCCTTATTCCTAAAATTTCGAGGAAATTAACCCTAAAATCAATCCCATCATCGACCCTTTGTGATATGGAATCTTGTAGTACAATGTCAAAGAGATCCATACAATAACACACAAGTTATGTCTGGAAGTTACAAAAATGCTTATTTTCGGCCCCTTTTTGGCCCCTAATTATTTAACTGTTGGTACCATAACCCCCAAAATCAATCCCCACCTTCCTATTGTGGTATTGAACCTTATGGTAAAATTTCATAGAGATCCATTCACTTAAACTAAAGTTAGAGTGCGAAAACCATTGTGTATTCGGACGACGACGACGACGACGACGACGACGACGACGACGACGACGACGACAACGTCATACCAATATACGACCACAAAATTTTTTTGCGGTCGTATAAAAACAGCAAAATTACCTTAAAATTACCAATTCAGGGGCAGCAACCCAACAACGGGTTGTCCGATTCATCTGAAAATTTCAGGGCAGATAGATCTTGACCTGATAAACAATTTTACTTCATGTCAGATTTGCTCTAAATGCTTTGGTTTTTGAGTTACAAGCCAAAAACTGCATTTTACCCCTATGTTTTATTTTTAGCTGTGGCGGCCATCTTGGTTGGTTGGCCGGGTCACGCCACACATTTTTTAAACTAGATACCCCAATGATGATTGTGGCCCAGTTGTTTCAGAGGAGAAGATTTTTGTAAAAGATGACTAAGATTTACGAAAAATGGTTAAAAATTGACTATAAAGGGCAATTACTCCTAAAGGGGTCAACTGACCATTTCGGTTATATTGACTTATTTGTAAATCTTACTTTGCTGAACATTATTGCTGTTTACAGTTTATCTCTATCTATAATAATATTCAAGATAATAACCAAAAACAGCAAAATTTCCTTAAAATTACCAATTCAGGGGCAGCAACCCAATAACAGGTTGTCCGATTCATCTGAAAATTTCAGGGCAGATAGATCTTGACCTGATGAACAATTTTACCCCATGTCAGATTTGCTCTTAATGCTTTGGTTTTTGAGTTATAAGCTAAAAACTGCATTTTACCCCTATGTTCTATTTTTAACCGTGGCGGCCATCTTGGTTGGTTGACCGGGTCACGCCACACATTTTTAAAACTAGATACCCCAATGATGATTGTGGCCAAGTTTGGTTAAATTTGGCCCAGTAGTTTCAGAGGAGAAGATTTTTGTAAAAGTTTACGGACGACGGACGACGGACGACGGACGCAGGTCGACGGACGACGGACGCAAAGTGATGAGAAAAGCTCACTTGACCTTTCAGGTCAGGTGAGCTAAAAATTAGCAATTTTCCAAAAGAGAGACGAAAAATACAAAAGGGACATTCAACTTTATAATTTCCAAGTTATAAAGGGGCATAACTCTAGAACGGTAAGTGACTCACTGCCCAATATCAGACTCTGTCTGCGAGTTTTGGTTCTTAGCATCGTGAATGAATTTCATAAAATTTGGGTGAGTAAAACTTGTTAAAGTGCGGGAAAAAAATGGGATGGACAGAAGGACAGTCAAGGTTAACACTTAATGCCCCCTTCGCCTAGCAGCGGTATAAAAATATACAGGGTAATTATTATAACATATAATGACTATTATTTCACCAAATTTATGTGTTGTTTACCATGTTATCGATGGGGGCACATGCTTCATAATATCAATTTTTCATACATTATAAAAGTGTGCAAAAACACCATATGGTATATGTGTCATCCAATAAAAAAAACGAAAAGTAGATTTAATATAAATATATATAAATACGTATAACTAACCTGAATCCATCCATTTCTTTCCTATCACTACAGAAAGGAGTGTACCCATATGGAGCCCCATTCAAATCTAAATCATGTAACTCTTGCAAATCTGCCCTTACAATCTGAAATTTTTATTGATAATGTTATAATCTGTTCAATGTTACATAATATATATGTTGTGTTTGAGTTTTGCTTTTGCGAGTTTAAATTGCAGTCTTCATGAAGTCATCCAACCAAGACACATCTTTCAATTTTGATTTCTGGTGTTTAACACCACTTTTAGCACTCTTGGCTATTTCATGGCGACAAGTTTTCATAGGTGGAGGTAGCCGGAGTCCCCAGAAAAAACAATGACCTTACATGGAAACTAGCAATCCTAGTCAGTTAAGACAGGAATCGACTGCACCTTTCCAGGAGCATGGTTCAAAATTCAAAACCCAACTGTTGACATTTAAATTCTGAGCCAACCAATCTTTGCTCATATCATTTTTAAAATACCACTTACTTGGCAAGGAGGCAAAAAATTAAAAAGATACCAAATTCAAAATCTATGCCTTGAACCTACTAAGCATCAAACCAATGAACTCTTAATAATGCAAGCACCCTAACATCAGACAACTGAAGTTGCATCGACAAATGAGTAAGCCATCGCTAATCAAACATACATTACTGAAGAAATAGGTGGTATACATGCATTCAAAAATTGGAGAAACATTTATCACTGAATAAAGATTGCAATATTTACCTGATCAGCATCAACAAATATAAATTTCTTTACGTCCAATGGGAACAATACATCAAGGAATAGGATCTTATATCTACAAAATCAGAATGGCAAAAATTCAGGATATATGTGTAACATCATATAAAATATTGTAGAATGAATTTGTAAAATTATTGAATATAATTAACATGACAATTTTAACAAAATGTATTGCTGGTAATAATAAAACTGGTAAGAAATTTCACAAGAATATCATTTACAAAATGAGAATAATATATATTTCATGTGTCAAGGATGTAAGTTTAGATTTACCTATTGTTTACTACACTCACCCCCACATAATTCTCTGTTTTTCTTTCTGTTGATTCAACCATCTCGGCCACTTGTACTGTACTAATTCATATTCAAATCCATAATTTTCAGCCATTTTTGGTATGAAATCCTGTAACAAATGACATTTTTATCATCTTTTAACATTTAATAATACTTTCACCAATAAAATAAACATTAGATCCAATAGCTATCATGGCAGGGCTATTACCATGTATATAAGGGTTGTCTAATTCTCATTGTGCAGAATATCCTGTATGTTAAATATCAAAATAATATAATGAATTCTTTTCATATATTTTGACATCATACTACAATCAACTAATAGTATAAGTTCTGCAGTCTTTTTGTATTTAGTTGAAATTTGCTTAGGAACATTTGTCCAGAATATATGTCCTGGTCTTTAAAGAAATAATATTGTCAACTATGGTACATTTCCAAAGTACCCTGCTTTGTTTCTTTTAAACTAACACCGTAAACCAATTTGTTTTTGAAATCATGTCTTTATAAAGATTAAAGCAAAATGTAACTACTGCAAGTATTATTATCAATCTACCTTTAAATAATTTGTATATATATGTGAACTTAGAAGGAGCATAATGTGAAATATCACTTATACATGAAAAATTGCTGTAAATTAGTCTGAAGACCAATTTCTTCAAATGTCACTAACTATAACATTTTTATTTCTATATAAAGTAGTCATTCTCACATAAATACTTACCTTAAAAGATGGAGATAAGTAATTTTTCAAAAACCAAAATTTTACTTTTGACTTTGTATGTTTCAAAACACTCATCATCATAATTCTGAAATAAGTAAAATGTCAATGTTATCTACGAGAGGGAATAGTATCCGATACTAAATATACATACTTGAGTTTTTAATTAGCATTGAAAATGCGTAGCACAGGAGTTAATTATCAGTAATGTTTGGTCACGAGTTGAAATATTTTTCGATATTTGAATTCTTTGATTAATTTTTCTTTTATTACATTGACAATGAGCTTTTTAATGGAATTAAAGTAGAAATATAAGGAACTATATCTTTTTTCTACGTATTCACAATTTGCTTTGATGCAACGTCATCGACAACACCTATTGTTGTATGGCGTCAGAGGAGTGAAATAATCGAGTTTATTTCACATGTGAAATTTTCGGTTTTTATTTCACTGGGAAATCACGGAATTCATTGTAACCAATGTAATAAATGCAATTCAGTAAACATTCACTTGTTATTCCCTAGTATCTGTATTCCATAGGACTATATTGTCTCCTCTATTTCCATTTCCAGATTTTTTAAATCAAATTAATCATATTAATTAGTATCATTAGTATTCACTACCTGTACATATTATTTTTTTTCTTCAGAAAAACTTGATTAAAGGAAAGCATGTTCGACATTTGTAATTCTTATAAAACCAGGAGTCCATTTCTTAAATCTTAATCAGAAAAGAATGGATATGGTGAGTACATAAAGCATATATGAAATATATATATTTTCATAATTACTTGTATCTTAGATAGCAAATCAAATATACATTTCTTTTTTAAGGGGTTCTTCTTGCTCAGTCTTTTGTTTTTTAAGTACTTGTGGTGTTTTGTAGACTGTTGTCTTTTCATTGTTTTTCTTTTTTCCACAATTTGCCAGTGTCTCTTAGACTTATGAGTTTTGATACTCTCTCTGGTATTTTCTGCTCTTTCTTTGGAAAGACGACTAAATCTATAATTTCTTTCACATTCCCTAGCAGTGTTATAATTAACACCAACTTGGTATAATGACCATTTGACCACTCTTACCTCATTAATCTTTCATACATAAGACCTGATGCGAGGGAGAAGATATTTAATGTCTGATCAACATCTTTGGTACCCCCTTTGTCTCCTGTTAATGTGCTGTAAAAGAACCATTTTTCATGTTATTTTTTTTGTCATGAGAAAAATAAAACATATATGAGTCACTCTACTGTTTTCTGAAAAAGAAAATGCAAGATGTAAATATATCCATGGCATGTACTCCAACTTCTCTGTCACATAAAATTTCCGATCCAAGTCAGTCTCATTTTTCATTTATTGACAGGATAATCTAGTAGGTTGTTTGCTATACCTAGATAATACATAATAAAATGCTCTGCAGGGCGCAGCTTGGTACGACCGCAGAGGTCGAACCCTGAACAGTTGGGGCAAGTATGGACACAACATTCAAGCTTGATACAGCTTTGCATTTGGATTGTGATTAAATATTTGACACAGCATAGGTTTCTGACACAGAATGAATGTGGTCTAAGAACTTAAAAATTTTAAATTGGACATTCACCTATTATGGTCCAATATCCAAAATCTAAATACATGGTTAGATTCAGCATATCAAAGAACCCCAAGAATTCAATTCTTGATGAAATCAAACAAAGTTTAATTTTGGACCCTTTTGACCTCAATGTGGACAAAGTTGATAACGGGGCCCATAAATGAAAAATCTAAATACATGGTTAGATTCAGCATATCAAAGAACCCCATACATTCAATTTTTGTTGAAATCATACAAAGTTTAATTTTGGACCCCGATTTGGAACAACTTGAAAACTGGGCCCATAATCAAAAATCTAAATACATGTTTAAATTCAGCATATCAAAGAACCCTAAGAATTCAATTTTTGTTAAAATCAAACTAAGTTTAATTTTGGACCCTTTGGACCTTAATGTAGACCAATTTGAAAACGGAACCAAAAATTAAGAATCTAAATACACGGTTAGATTCGGCATATCAAAGAACCCCAATAATTCAATTTTTGATGAAATCAAACAAAGTTTAATTTTGGACCCTTTGGACCTAAATGTGGACCAATTTAAAAACGGGGCCCAAAATCCAAAAACTAAATACACGGTTAGATTCAGCATATTAAAGAACCCCAAGAATTCAAGAATAAAACCCCATTGAAATTGGTCAAGAAATAAGCAATTTATACGAAGTATCTTCTTTTGCACAATACTGTGCAATTAAATATTTCTTGCTATTGCGCAATACTGTACAATTGACAATTTCTTGCTATTGCACAATATTGTGCTATTGGATATTTCTTGCTATTGCGCAATACTGTGCAATTGAAGATTTCTTGCTATTGCGCAATACTGTGCAATTGAAGATTTCTTGCTATTGTGCAATACTGTGCAATTGAAAATTTCTTGCTATTGCACCATACTTATTATATAATAATTTACACATCCTGTTTGGTGTGTATCTCCTACCATATCATTATTATTTGCTTTTAAATATAAATCAGAAATAACCAACTTAAAACGGAAAATTTTAAAAGAAAAAAAAAAGGAAAAAAAGAAAAAAAAGGGAAAAAAAAAAAATCCCCCCCCCCCCCAAATTTTTTGAACCCCTTATGATTCATCACCACCAAACTCAATCCCATCCTTTCCTTTGTGGTATGGTAACTTGCAGTACAATTTCAGAGAGATCCATACACTTGAACACAAGTTATTGTCTGGAAACTAGAAAAATGTGTTTTTTGGCCCCAAATTCCTAAACGTTTAGGGCAATTACCCCCAAACTCAAACCCAGCTTTCCCTTTGTGATATGGAACCTTGTAGTACAATTTCAGAAAGATCCATACACTTACACACAAGTTATTGTCCTGAAACTAGAAAAATGCTTGTTTTTTGCCCCTTTTTGGCCCCTAATTCCTAAAATATTGAGGCAATTACCCCCATCATCAATCCCAGCCTTCCCTTTGTGGTATGGTACCTTGCAGTACATTTTCAGAGAGATCCATACACTTGAACACAAGTTATTGTCTGGAAACTAGAAAAATGCTTATTTTTGGCCCCTTTTTGGCCCCCAATTCCTAAACATTTCGGCAATTACCCCCAAACTCAATTCCAGCTTTCCCTTTGTGATATGGAACCTTGTAGTACAATTTCAGAAAGATCCATACACTTACACACAAGTTATTGTCATGAAACTAGAAAAATGCTTGTTTTCTGCCCCTTTTTTGGCCCCTAATTCCTAAAATTTTGTGGCAATTACCCCCGAAATCAATCCCAGCATTCCTTTTGTGATATGGAACCATGTGGTACAATGTCAGAGAGATCCATACACTAACACACAAGTTATGTCTGGAAGTTACAAAAATGCTTATTTTTGGCCCCTAATTCCTTTACTGTTGGTACCATAACCCCCAAAATCAATCCCAACCTTCCTTTTGTGGTATTGAACCTTGTGGTAAAATTTCATAGAGATCCATTCACTTAAACTAAAGTTAGAGTGCGAAAACCAATGTGTCTTAGGACGACGCCAGACGACGCCGGACGACAACGACAACAACGACGACGCCAACGTCATACCAATATACGACCACAAAATTTTTTTTGCGGTCGTATAAAAAGGATAACAGGAATTATCCAAAATACTGGCTAGTACAACAGACCACACCAACAATTAACAACAGAGCACAACATCAACCAACAACAGAGCACACCAACAATTAACAACAGACCACAACATCAACCAACCACAGAACACACCAACAATTAACAACAGACCACAACATCAACCAACAACACACCACACCAACAACAGACCACATCAACAATAGACCACACCAACAATCACAGACCACACCAATAATCAATAAGACCATACCAACAATCAACAACAGACCACACCAACAACCAACAACAGACCACACCATCAACCAACAACAGACCACACCAACAATCAACAACATACCACATCAACAATCAACAAGACCACACTATCAACCAACAACAGACCACATCAACAATCAACAACAGACCACTCCAACAATCACAGACCACACCAACAATCAATAAGACCATACCAACAATCAACAACAGACCACATTAACAATCAACAACAAACCACACCAACAATCAACAACAGACCACACCAAAAATCAACAACAAACCACACCAACAATCAACAACAGACTCCTCACACAATCAACAACAGACCACACTAACAATCAACAACAGACTCCTCACACAATCAACAACAGACCACACCAACAATCAACAACAGACTCCTCACACAATCAACAACAGACCACACCAACAATCAACAACAGACCACACCAACAATCAACAACAGTCTCCTCCAAAAATCAACAACAGACCACACCAACAATCAACAACATACCACACCATCAACCAACAGCAAACCACAACAAATATCAACAACAGACCACCAACAAGCAACAACACTCCTCCTCCAAGAAAATAAAGTCTGATAACATCCCACAACACATTGGCCAGATAGCCTCACTTGGTACAGGTACAAAATGTGGTGGGGTCAAAACATTTTTCTTTGATCTTTCACATGACAAAACAATGAGCTCACATTTAAATGTATGGCTTCTTCAGAAATATGATATGTAGAGTGGTCCCCATTCTAAGTAATGCATTTTTTGAACATTAACAATTAACCTTTTCACTAAACAAAGTCTAAACTATACATGTCATCCATAGAATCATAAATAGACATGTGTGTTTAAATATCTTTTCACTGACAAACATTCTGTATGTATAAACCATAAATTATCAGATAATCTAAACAGTGTATTTTTCTTAAAATAAACCCACAGGGTAGTACTCCTTTTTTTAGTTTTGTATCAGAGATTGGTTTACAAAAGGGAAAATATATATGGCTATCATACTAGATACAATTCTTAGGAAAGTTATTTAGCTTAGAAAACACATAAACAGTGCTATGCTATTGCTATGCTCATCCACCTTTAAAAAAAAACAATTATACAGCAAGTCAATGCTGACAAAATTTAAAATTTGATAACAATGCTTCTTGTTACAATGTGGTGTTCCCTTATTTCACTGAGGTCCACTTCTGTTATTATGACATAACCCAGTGTTCAAAATCCAAGTCTAATTTACAGATATTAGGCTATTTTCATTCACTGTGTATGTATTGCTTTCATACTTAACACAATGTTAAAGGGCCATAACTCCTAAAACATCATCAATAATACCTTGACTGACTAATTACCAAACCATACCAAATGTATTGCAATGGATACCAATGCCTCGAATAACTGCATATTAAAGGAATAACATTTAAAGGCAATTACCCCTACAGAAATCATTTTATAATAAAAAATCTTTATGTTATAAACATGAAATGTAAAAAAATATCTGAAGAGCAGTTGCTTTCATAATGTGAACATATGAACACAGACCATTACTTTATCCCTTTCACATGATGCAAATGGGACAGCACATTTTAATTCTAACAAAATTATCCATCTCTAGAATTTTATGTAAATATTTGGATCAACCATCATCATATTTCAACAAAAAATAAACAAATAAAATAACAACGAAAAAATAAAGCCAATAATAAAAATGCTGTAATACGTCAATACTACTCACATAGTATGCACAGTCTGCCTGTATGAACACAAAAATAAGATATGAGGACTGAGAATAATTTAGCACTTTCTAAACACTATCCAGTGTAATTATTTTTCCATACCATACTGTATCTGTGGTATTCTTTGTCATAAAAGAGGGACGAAAGATACCAGAGGGACAGTCAAACTCATAGATCGAAAACAAACTGACAACGCCATGGCCAAAAATAAAGTTAATAGGATAGACATGATCAACAAAGTCACCAAACTGTGAAGACATTACTAAATTGTAAAACTTGTGTCTGATCCATTCGTCAATTTAAATAATACAATATTTTAAAACTAATAACTAACTGAATTATTAGTGAAACGACATCACCAATATAGTAGAATGTGTAGTTAAAGGGTATTGTTAGTTTCTTTTTGAAGGATGCTTTATGATGTCTGCCTCATATTAATAGAACAAATTGATGTCAAGAGGAGCACAGGTAATTCCAAAGTAAACACAGACTGTCAGTTGATCAACATTTCCATCAAACATAACAAATAAGTTTTCAATAAAAGTTCAACAATCTTCAATTTGTCCTTTTCAAACAACTTTTTGTAACAATCAGAGTGGTTTATTACTAAGTATGATTTTAATAGCCCTTCCTACAAGAACAGATTTGTATCTTTGTTGGCTATTCTTTTTTATGAAACAAAGATGGACTAATTATTTTAATATATCCTTAAGTTTTGAATGAGGAATTCTGTAATACTATTTCATGGGGAGAAGGCTTCACTTATATTTACAATAATAGATCAATGGAAATTTTATAATCCACATCTACTCTTCCAGGTTAACAGCATGGCTAAATAAATGCCAGGTTTTTCAGATTAAAGTTTTCGTGCTTACTGTCATACAAGCCAAATGCAAACTAATAAAGTATCAACAAAACTGTACATCTAGGAACTTGACCTGACTGATCATGCAGAAAATGCATACTTTTAGGGAGAACAGCAAGCTCATACTTAACCAATGTGTGAAGAAAAAGTCAGGAAAAGTTATTTAAATCTCTATTGATGATGCATTTGAATTAAGAAATTTCAAATCAGAGCCAAAATATTGGAATTTACATTATTCTTTTACACCACCAGAGCATTTAAAAGCAATCAGAATTTTCCAAATGTCCATCTCTGCACTTGCAGCTTTGTTCATTAAACAAATTTGCTTTGGTAATGAAAAGAACTGCTAACTTATAATACATATACAGAGAGACTACCATAATCAAATATAACGGTATTAGTATATCAATGTAAGTTAAAGTATTTAAGTCCCGGTATAAACAGCCAAATATTAGAAAACCTCAGTTATAATATTCATAGAAAAAATATAGCACACTCTTCTGTCATATCATCATTTACTACCCCTCCTTTAACTTACTGAGAAGGTATGCTTCTGAATCTTGATTTAAGTTTTCTAGACAAAATTGAGAAACATGGCTTCAGGTATTTTGTTCGACAACAAGCTACCCAATATCAGTAAATGACAATAGTACATGTATATATTTGAGTTTGGGGAAACAAGGGGAAGATGTCTGAAAGACAGCAAACTGGGTTTTCTTGGTCAGAGATTACTAATGTTTTTGCATGTGACATCCACTTTTAACAGAGATGGGGATATGACCAATATTTTATTCATCTAGAAAATGAATCACTGGTATATACAAAGAATGAACTCTTAAGGGAACTTACCTTGAAATTGAATCCCATAAACCTTTTTCTTCATCCTGTGGTTCTTTTAATAAGTCTTCATTTTTCTTATCTTCTTTCTTTTCAACCTATCATTTAACACAGTATTATATACAGACATCTTTCTTTCTTGTATGCAAATTTTTGTTCAGAATTCTCATTTCTTTTTTCTGTGCAACTGATTTTAAAAGTGGCTTACTCTTATTTGTATTACATACAAATGTGAAATCTATAAAACTACGGATTAACAAATATTCAAAACTTCATGGTTCTTTCAAAAACCAGTCAAATTCCACTGGTAATACATATAGGCAGCAACACAAGTTACTTACAAGATCTATTTGATTGTCATGTTCCTGGCAATTAAGATTGTAAAGAGCCTTTAACAAATATATAAAAGGAATACCACAAACTTCTCAGTTTTTTATCAACAATATTTCAGACAATACAAGTTTATCAGATTTGGTCATGATCTCTGGTTTGTACTGAAGTAACGTGCTTAGGAATACTCAAAGGAAGGCATATAATCCAGTTTAGACAAATCAGTTTTTGATAGTACTCCTCAAATCATAATCTTATGATGAGAAGCAGCTATCTTAAATATTAAATGATTACTAGTTAAAATTAGGGCCTGAATAAATGACTTTCCAGTATATAAATGGGAGTCTACTATTATGCTGCTTAATCATTGCTATTCAAAGTTAACAATATTAAAGATCTCACAGCATTATCCATCTTCATATGAACAATGTACAATAAAAGTACATTGCATTACTACTTGAAAGGTCTTAAAAAAAGAAAGAAAGTATAAAGAAATGAAATTTGGAATTCACCAAAAAAAGTATACCGTAGTAAGCTTATATTGTGTTTTACTTGATTTCAGGTAAACTTACTTTGACTCTTATAATTTTACTCTTAAAACTATTCATAGAAATGACAACATCATCTGAATCTGAAGGTGTGTCTGTATGTTCATGGCTGAAAGAAAAAATAACCAGAAATAAACATCTGTTAAAGATGACTGAGATATTGTTAAATGTAAAATGTCTAGTGAAAAATATTTCATCCATATTCAGGATGAGTTATGAGCAGAGCATAACTCATTTGATAAGTCACTAAGGTAAAATATATATACTTCAATAAACCAATATTTTTACTGAATCTTAAGCATATCTAATACTGGCAATGTAAGGTAAAAATTCAATGGTAATCACTACCTTCAAGTATAAATAAGCCTTCAGATTTAAGATTTCAGTTTTTTTTTTAAATTTAAACATGTGAAGATCAAACTAAAGTAGCTCCAAAAAGTTAGTTATGAAATTGCAATTTCCTTTGTATATTTCAAGATAGCACATCAATATCTGTGAAGGAAAAATCAATCTTGGATCTTTACTTATCATATCATTAGGAAGACAATTAACATTTAACAATGTTTACTTTACATCACACAAAAATTGCAAATATTTTTTCAAACATTAATTTTTGGTTAAACATTTTGTCTTACTAAAATAACATATTTCCATTTTATTTTGCAATCATCAAGGCCTTTAAATTTAACAACTATAACAATCATAACAACCAAAACTAGACATATAAATATATAAATGGTCAATTCTATTTTAATTTTATGAAGAGCTGTGTCAGGTATTGAAACCAAAACAGCTTTAATGGATCCAAGGGTCTTATGTAAAGTCACCATAAGAAAGCTGTTTCAACTGAACAATATCATGTTTAATACCTTTATTATCAAATAGCTTTAGATAAAATTTAAATTGAACACACCAGCTGCAAAAAACTGGTTAATACAAATATGGTTTCATTGTAAATAGTTTGAAAACAATACAATTTACAATTCTATTTTCTTGATGATTCGATGTAAACAATAAAATTAAGAATGGAAATGGGGAATGTGTCAAAGAGACAACAACCCGACCATAGAGCAGACAACAGCCGAAGGCCACCAATGGGTCTTCAATGCAGCGAGAAACTCCCGCACCTGGAGGTGTCCTTTTCATAATAATTCTATTTTTAGGAAACACTGAAGAATATACCTTGTAATATCATATATTTCTCTGGACCTTCCTTCTCTGAGTCTAAGATACCAAAGTCCAGGTGTAGCCTTTAGCTGGAAATATCCCTGTAATCAGAACATAAAAAATAATTCAATTTTAGGTGAATACAGAGATTTATGAAAATATATAATATCTACCATTCTCCTAAATACTGTAAGGTATGGACAAACACAAACACAAGAACCAGAAACCATTACTCCCCCTCAACCATAAAATTACCCAAAATAGGTTGAAAAGGAAAAAAAAAAGAATAAATGTATATTCTGAAAGACTGTTGAAGTTTTAACCTTTGTAAACTGCTTTTAAGTCACTGATATATTCTTCAATTATCAACACCTGGTATGACTATTTGAATCATTTTTAAAAGTATCGATTATAATTAGATCATTGAACATATGTATGCAAGGTGGACAGATGGAAAGATAGATACATTTACAGATACATTGAACAAGTTTGTGTTTTTGCCTGCATGGTATTGTTTGACTGCTGTTTTACTGACTTATACCTTCTCAAAACTGGACTTGAATCGTGATGATTTCTATCAATAATCAAAGTCCTAAGATGCTTACTAGATTAGCCATAACAATGGTGTCCACCATAGGTGTAGAATTAGACCCTAGAGTGAACTGTAGACCTCGCGGTGGCTGTCCTGATGAACCATCTGATCCATGACCTATAGATTATAAATAATATTCAAAGTGCATTCTTGTGAAGTGACATTAAGAATAATATGAGAAAGGTGTTGCCTGTGAAAGAGGAAACCCTTATTATTTCAAGATACTTTTTGGTAATCAGATATACAAATTTGCAGGAAATTGTATGCTTTCATGGCAGCTGGTAATGAGCAAGTGCAGATTTAGTAAAAAAAGTTATCAATTTCGAATTCATTAGTATATATAGAATTTTCTTTTTATTGATTTTCTTACTATTATTGAGGACTTTGTCTTCATATTATTTAATTTAGAACAGGTGTGTCTGACAGAGGAAAAGAATATTGGAAGATAATTTTTTTTTTCCTCTATTCTAAAAGATGAAAACTACCAAAATTTAATCTGACAGCCATCTTATTGATAAGTAAACTAGCTAAAAAACAGTGTTTTAAAAGTAGAAATAAGGAAGTAAGTATAGAAAACTGCATACTAAATATCATTGACCTACCACTAGTGGTTCCCCATAAACTGACCTAATCACAAACTAATACATGTAAACTAAGCAAAAGTTTCAAAGTCAATAGACCATGACTGAGGGGTTGGGACCACATAATCTCCATGGAAATGAGATGTGCCAATGCTTATACAACTGCATACCAAATATCATTGACCTACCACTAGTGGTTCCCCATAAACTGACCTAATCACAAACTAATACATTGTTGGTGCCGCCGCTGCCGCAAACAGCATACCTATGTCTCGCTTTTTGACTCTGTCAAGGCGAGACAAAAATAATGCAAAAACAAACAAAGAACAAGATAGTTGTCTCATTGACAAGCATTCCACATCTCCTTATTTTATATAGTTCATGAATTGGAGAAGCAACTGGAAGAGAGAACTATGTTAAGAGATAATTTACCTTATGATGATAAAAATTAAAAGAGAAAATAAAAGGCAGAAATAGGCAAGATATACAAACAAAAAGCAAGAAGAGCACAGAATAGTGGGAGGGTTATTGGCAAAACAATCACTACTTTCAAGGTTTAGAAATAAAGAGACACATAAAAAATCATAGTTAACCTAATTGAAGATACTGAAGATATAGAAATTAGAGGGTCGAGATTCAAATTAGATGAAAAATTTATTGCATTGAAATATTTATCCTTTTTTGGATTAAGTTTGAAAATAAATGAAACTGTAAATAGTAAACATAAGATAGCTGGGATTAATTGGACAAAAAAAATTGTAAAATTATTGGGAATTTACTATGTCTAGAACAGAGAAGAATGTGATATATTAAACTGGGAAGTAAAATTGAGAAAATGCATAAACTATATAATTTATGGGGAAATCATAATTTGCCTATATCTGGGGAAAAAAAACTTATAATAAAAACATTAGTTTTACCACTGTTTACAAGTGCAGCTCCTGAGAAATCAGAAAAGATACAGAAGGTAAATATTTGAAATATATTTGGAATGGTGAATTAATAACTTTAAAAGAAATACTATGATAAGGTCAAATGAATCTGCAGATGTAGTCAATAAAATATATAATATTATTTAAAATAAATGAAAAGAAATAAATGGAGAATGTGGCTATGGGCCTCAGATGCCCATGCTTGTAAATATGCATGAGTCAACTTCCACATACAGATGCAGGATTCATGTAGTTAAGACTATTTTGTGATTTATAAGCATTGTGTATAAGTTTCATAACATTTGGTTGAGGCAAACTAAAGTTAGAGAACGGAAACGACAGATTTAGCAATTTTTCCATTTATAAAGGGGCATAACTCATGAACAATAAAAGTGACGCCACCCAATGTCGAACTTGATCTGTTTTTTTGTGGTAATAAGCATTGTGTATAAGTTTAATAACATTTGGTTGAGGCAAACTAAAGTTAAAGAACAGAAACGAAAAATTCAGCAACTTTTATGATTATAAAGGGGCATAACTCATGAACGGTAAAAATGACGCTACCCAATTTCGAACTTGATCTGCGCTTTGTGGTAATAAGCATTGTGTATAAGTTTCATAACATTTGGTTGAGGCAAACTAAAGTTAGAGAACGGAAACCAATTTTTGGGGACGTTCGGGACCGACGGACATGTGTAACACTTAATGCCTCGGATTCCTAGCGGCCAGGGCATAAAAATATAGTACTCCCCTATTATCTACTTTTCAGATGCAACTATTTTAGTTATTTGTGGTTGAAGAGGGAGACTGATGAAACAAGTTAAAAATAGAGAGAAAATATTTTGGCCTAATTCAAATGGACTATAAGATGAAGGCGACCAGTGTTTGGGTAGGTACTACTGTATTTCTTCTATACCTGGATTGAGTGGATTCGCAACTACATTTAAAGCTAGACAGTTAGCATGGATACTGAAATTAAAGAAAGCATGTTGATCTCTAGAGGTCTTTTTTTTTTATGGTGTTGGATTGCTGTCTCATATACCCTGCATCTATTTTTATTTGCAAGACAACTATGATTTCTACGTGATGCATAAATACAATTAACTTTGTCAGTGAAACTAGTAGCATTTGGTCATTTTCAGATTTCCAAAAAAGTTGTGGCGGTAATTACATTTGAAAAGAAAAAATCTGACAAAATATTGCTACTGTCTAAGCAGATTCATTAATCTGATAAGGTCTTACCCTCCAATAAAAGATATTCCAAATCAAATTCTGCATGTACAACACTGTCTACCTATAATAAAATAACAGACAATATTATACTTCAAATTAAACTCTTGTTATACAATTTATTAAAATCACTGCCACAGATATAATTAATGTACATAAGAGCAAAATGCACATTAACTAATAACAAAGTTCACATGGGAAGTATTATAACTCCTATAAGAAGAAAGCAAAGATACTCTAGTGTAATAATGTCTGAAATGAAAAATATTCTGGTATGACTGAACAGCAATATCAAAAAGATCTTAGAGACAGATGTAATCACTGTTGTTAAAGATTGCTCAACTAAATTTTCATCTTGTTTTTTAGTGATCTAAGTTTCTAACTAAAAGTACAAATAGATTAAGATGCTAAAGGGCAGTACTTGTAAATCAAGCATAACAGCTGTTTTAGAGTTGCACAAATAGTTTGTAATTACTCCATACATATCGCCTAGTTTTTCACAATTCTAGATTCTTAAACAGTCCTAGAATGGATCGGAATGTCGTTGTTCTGCATGTAGATAATCTTTTCATGGTATTATTTTTTTTAAGTTATAGTGATTTTCATTTTAAACTGATATGCTTAATTTTGCAGTATGCCTTTAAATTTTTCATAGTGTGCTTTAATTTTTAGTTGTGCTTTAAATTAGTTTTGCTTAATTATTAGTTGAGCCTTAATTTTAATTATGCTTCAGTTTTTGCATGTTTAGATATTTTTAAATTGTTTTAGTATAGCTTTGCATGTATTTCAATATGCCTGTGCTGTTTTTTGTGCATAGTAATATATGCTGCTTGTATATCTTATCTACATGCTCTCTGTTTTTATGTTAGGTATATGTTATTTATATTTAGTAAAAAGCTCTCAAGAGCTTGTGTTTGTACTGTTATATGTAAACCGTATAAAAATAAAAAATTTGTATTCGTATTCGCACAAATACAGATTAAGATATTAGAATCCAACTTTGTAAATAATTCATACTGACAGTTACGAAATGATTAAGATAGACATACCTCCTCTAACAGAATATTATCCAGATCATATAATGCCTTGACACTTTCCACCATCCAACTTTCTGGACACTTCATTCCTAAAGTCAGTACAGATTTATGTGGAAGTCCTGTAAATACTGCCTTCTGTCCAGACTTAAACATTGCATTTGGCTCAAATTCTACATCTGGGCTCAAAACATAGCGGTAATATCTGTATAATTAAGAATAATAATCATATGATAAAAAATAGTCTAATGTGTGTGCAAATTATGTTTATTCCAAACTGAAAATTAAGATTTAAAATACATGGAAATTTCTTGGTTAATAAAAATACATAACAAGTTATTACTACATAGTCATTCTATCTTAATTCTAAAACAGTACCAACATGATCATTTCAAAACCATAAAGATTTCCTTCAAAACTTCAGTGGAAGGAATAGTTTTTCATCCTTGCTTTTTAAAGGATTTGACCAGAATGAATTTTAATGGAAAACATGCACTTACATAGCCAACCACTTTGTTTTTTGTCTTGTTGGATTGCTGTCTCATTGATGTATACACCACATGTCTTTTATTCATCTGTAGATTCAGTGCTGTTCATTTGTTCACCTGTCTTGGATTTCTTTTTAGTTTAAGCAATCATGTATAGTCTAGTATTTTTGATCCTGTCAAAGTGTACTTTTTAAAAATCTGGGAATGTGTACATGAAGCCATCAAAGAGGTAACTACTATATAGTTGGACTAAGTGTGGAAGTAACATGGGGGAAACACTTTATTTCAATTGTTAGATCATGTTTTATGTTAATGTATTTCAACAACTTTAACAAAATTCAATTGTCCTGCCATGCATATTGAACATAATGGTTTTTAGCAACCTTTTTACTGTAATCACTTAGATATCCTTTCAACATTCAATTGATACTGATAAGTTTGAACTTACGTAGTTAATGGCATCTCTGATAATTTATCCCTGCTGTTCATAAAGATTTTTATATCAACATTCACTGCTCTTTTCAGAACCTACAATAAAACACATCAAATTTAACGGGAATGTCTGTGAAGTCCTGTAACGTCAGTCAAATAATGATCAGGTGTATTGATCAGCAAGAATAGTCAGACTAGTAATATTAACTAGGTTCCACTTCAATAATCAGATTTAAAAATGGTTACAAAAATCTTAATATACTATTGCATTGATTGATTGGTGTTTAACACCACTTTCATCACTATTGCACTATTTCGTGGCGGTCAGTTTTTATTGGTAGAGGAAGCCATAATGCCCATAGTGAACCACCAACCTTCGGTAGGAAAACTCACAATCCTAGTCAATTAAAATTGGAGTCAAACGCACCTGCCATGTGCCAGATTCTAACCCAAAACCTCAGTGTTGACAAGCTAGGGATACAGTAGTTCCACTACTTAAACCACTTGACCACCAAGGACCCCAAAATACTATTGTAACAATCCTTATAAATTTGAACAACCAAAGGCAAAGCAATAGATACTAAGATAAATTTTGAAGTAATTATTAACCTTCAGGCTGTTGCTTTTTTACACATTCTTCTGTAGCATTTTTTTAGTTCAAATAATCGCATGGAACTATGAATTTTTAGGAAATGAAATTTACTAACCAAAAGAATGGGTGCTAATTTCTGGGCTTCACTAGAAACAGGATCTACAATAGCCTCTATCTGGAAGGCAGGTTCATTGGCGTCACCTAGAATCTTCAAAACACTAAAACCAAAAAACATATTTCTATAATTCTATGTTCAATTAATTAGTCTGATATATTAGAATTAAATTGCAACATTTAAAAAACAAAGCAATATCATACAGACAATAAAATATCCACATAAATTCTAAATAGTCCTTGTAAGAAAAACAACCTTTGAAAAACATTGTCAAGTTCTGTAAATTTAAAATATAGTTAAAATTTTGTCTATACCAAACCTCATTGAAGCATTTACCTGTGTTGATCTGCATGGTAACTGATTTCTTTTCTTTCAGTAGTGGAAGTTTTAGATGACAATAATGCAGAAACTTTCATCACCATGTCACTACCCCTGTAAAAATTAATTCATACTTAAAATGGCTTCAGAAAATAAAAGGTATTGTTATTCTTTATGTTATTCTACATTTTTTATGATGTTTTCAACGATAACTAGACATCTTTGAGATGGGAGCCATCTCTGTGGGCCCCGCTGACCTTGAACTTTGACCTAGGAAGTTGTACAAACATTATGACACACCCTCTGGTGTTGGTTAATATACATGTCAAGTATAAAGTATGAAATTATAACGGTTCTCTAGATATAGAGCCGACACAATTTGTTACGGACGGACGGACAGACTGATCACTATAGGGCGACCCGCCACTAGGCGGGGGCCCTAATAACATAGATGTTTTATATGGATTCCTTCTTAATGATTGGCAGTTAACAATCATGACATGTCTTAATGGGATGTTTTAAAAGCTTATTTTAAGTATTAGATTCCCAGTTTAGCATTAAAATTTATTCATACAAATTCAATAATCTTATTTTTGTAGTTTGCAGGATTGTAAAAGCTTTAACCATGCATATATTTTTAGTATGAACCTCTTCCAGGCTTCATACAAGAAAACAACAACAATAAAGTACTTGAGGCAACACTTTTTCACCCTAATAAAACTTCAAGAAAATCAAGTTGAACTGTGAGCAGTGATACCTCCCTATAAATGTTCTGTAAATATGAAGTTGTTTAGTGATTGAATTGAAGCATCACATGGTATAGCATGTTCATTTAAAGCTTGATACTAAATTTCAGAAAGTTGTAATTCAAAGTTCCTATTAAAAATGCAACGAAAAGTTAATTCTTGACCATATAAGTAATAGGTCAAGGTGACATGACGAGCGATGAACATGAAAATGCATCACATGGTATAACATGCTAACATGAAGCTTGATACCAAATTTCATGAAGATCTGATTTGTAGTTCCTAAGGTAAATCTGACAAAAATTAATAAGTATACACTCTCCTTTTGAGAGGGGATATAAAAGGATAATGTATTTATACCTTTCATCTAAAATACCCATCTTCATTACTCTTTCTTTTATTTTCTTTGCTCCTTTCTCAAAAACAAATTTCTCTTGCAATGCAATATCTTCTTCTGTAAATTCTTCAACATCATCAAATGCTCCTATTACCTATCATGGAAATCAAAGCAATTATATTGAAAGAAGTGCAATGACCGCAACTATCATTGATGTAATCTTATACAGTAACATTATTGAATAGAAAAGGGTCAAGAAATCTCTGTACATTTTGCCTTTAAAAGTTCACATTCAAAGGATGAAGTCATATTTTATCCTATACCTAAATTGTCTACTTTTTCCATAAATCAGTGTTACCCCCGTTCCCCCGAAAAGCAAGCATTTTGCCATTTTTACTTACTTTCAAGCCCATAAGGTTGCTGTGAGATGCATATCTTTCATGAAAAAAGACCAAACATTATTGCCAGAATTACATATATATATGAAATTTGGTAAATGAAGTGTTAAACTTTACTTTAATCAAGAATGAGGACCATAATCACCTGAAATTTGTCCTCAATAACTTTCATAAGAAAATACAGAAACTATTATTATTAAATAATTGTATTTGAAAATTAAATAAATGGAGTATGTGTCCATGGGACACAGATGATGCCCAGCTTGCATATAACGTTATAAAAGGACATAACTCTAGAACGGTAAAAGTGATGCCACCCAAATTCAATCTTGATCTGTGTTTTGTGGTAATAAGCATTGTGTATAAATTTCATCACATTTGGATGAGGCAAACTAAAGTAAGAGAACGGAAACCGAATTTTGGAACGTACAGAGAGACAAGGGCAACACTTAATGTCCCCTCAGGTGACCGCAGGGGCATAAAACTAGAGGCTCTAAAGAGCCTGTGTCGCTCACCTTGGTCTAAGTGCATATTAAACAAAGGACACAGATGGATTCATGACAAAATTGTGTTTTGGTGATGGTGATGTGTTTGTAGATCTTACTTTACTGAACATTCTTTCTCCTTACTATTATCTCTATCTATAATGAACTTGGCCCGGTAGTTACAGTGGAAAATATATTGTAAAAATTTACAAAAATTTACAAAATTTATGAAAAAGGTAAAAAATTGACTATAAAGGGCAATAACTCCTTAAGGGGTCAATTGACAATTTTGGTCATGTTGACTTATTTGTAGATCTAACTTTGCTGTACATTATTGCTGTTTACAGTTTATCTCTATCTATAATAATATTCAAGATAATAACCAAAAACGGCAAAATTTTCTTAAAATTACCAATTCAGGGGCAGCAACCCAACAACGTGTTGCCTAATTGGTCTGAAAATTTCAGGGCAAATAGATCTTGACCTAATGAACAATTTTATCCTCATCAGATTTGCTCTAAATGCTTTGGTTTCAGAGATATGAGCCAAAAACTGCATTTTACCCTATGTATTATTTTTTAGCCATGTCGGCCATCTTGGTTCGCGGGCGGGGTCATCGGACACATTTTTTAAACTAGATACCCTAATGACGATTGGGGACAAGTTTGGTTAAATTTGTCTTAGTAGTTTCAGAGGAGAAGATTTTTGTAAAGGATTACAAAAATTTACGAAAAATGGTTAAAAACTGACTATAAAGGGCAATAACTCCTTAAGAGGTCAACTGACCATTTTGGTCAAGTTGACTTATTTGTAGATCTTACTTTGCTGAACATTATTGCTGTTTACAGTTTATCTCTATCTATAATAATATTCAAGATAATAACCAAAAAGGCAAAATTTCCTTAAAATTACCAATTCAGGGGCAGCAACCCAACAACGGGTTGTCAGATTCATCTGAAAATTTCAGGGCAGATAGATCTTGACCTAATAAACAATTTTACCCCATGTCAGATTTGCTCTAAATGCTTTGGTTTCAGAGATATAAGCCAAATTCTACATTTTACCCCTATGTTCTATTTTTAGCCATGGCGGCCATCTTGGTTGGTTGGCCGGGTCACCGGACACATTTTTTAAACTAGATACCCCAATGATGATTGTGGCCAAGTTTGGTCAAATTTGGCCCAGTAGTTTCAGAGGAGAAGATTTTTGTAAAAGTTTACGGACGACGGACGACGGACGCAAAGTGATGAGAAAAGCTCACTTGACCTTTCAGGTCAGGTGAGCTAAAAAGTAATACCCATTAATTTATATAGCAAATGAAAATTTATCAAAAGCATTTTTTATATTGGAAAAATGTATGCCACATTAATTGTACCTTATACTGTAATTACCTTGCCATTTGTCACCAGTCCTCTTGCCTCGGTTCTCCATCCTAGGACAGATCTTACAAACAATCTATGGACTCTCAGAAAATTAGTTGTTAATTTGTCAAGCTGAGACAAGAAATTATCAATATCCATTCCCTGGTATAAAAAAAGCTACTCATATTTAACATATAAATGCATGCAGTGCATAAATACATCATATGTTTTTTTTATTATAAATTTCTCCATATTCAGATTTGCTTTGCACATAATATCAAAGAAGTTCAGTTTGTTTCCCCAAGTCAACAATATAACTTGATTATATTTTTAATTACAAACAAGGTAACACAAAGATCATAAGATATCATAAAGTCTTATTTAAATAAAAAAAAAGTTATAAATATAAAAAATTTGTTAGGGGTAAGCCTTTTTCATAAATACCACTTAGATGTGGTAAAATCTCCAAAATGCTCCCATAAATTATTTCTTAAATACATTTCTATATAACGGATTGTCATACTTACACTGACTTCAAAATCTCTTAGTGTTTTCTTAGCTTCAACCAAATCTTTGACATTTTCTTCCTTTACCAGCTTGGTGATGAAATTCTTGGCTTCTGAAGTGTCTAATGTTTTGAGAGCTAAGTAAATAGCCTTACTGATCATATAATCTTTGCCTTCCTCTACTTCAGTATTAAATACCACACCAACCCTCAAATCATGGGAATGTTTCTATAAACAATAAAATGTCAACAATAATTTACATACATTTGTATTATTTCCACAAGCAAGTATTAACTCATAAACATTTATCAAGTAAATCAAAGTGTTACTCTTCTAAACTTGTTGATTTTGAACAACTGCAGATAATCATATTTGCTTATACAAAATTAAGACTCCAATTTTATACAAAGATAAATAAGTAAATTTCTTCACAGAATGCCCTTAATTCTGAAATAAACCAATTTAATCAAAATCCGATCTAAGTCTTGTATATCAAAGCCGAGATTCAAAGTATATTGTTTTTTGTGTGTATTGGGTACTTTGCATGCAAAAATAAAAAGAGACCATAAATTTTAACAAGATATAATATGTTTTTATTTAATAATGCCCTGATATCTGAGATAATGTTACATAGATCATTTCTAACAGAAACTTGCAAGGGAAATTTTTATGCAAATTTTTGTACCAGGATGTTTATATTAAACAAAAGCTGGCAATAAGAGTGGCAAAATCACTTATGTGTTTAAAAAAGTAGAGGACAGACTACTAGAAATATGTGCAATGATGAGCAACCTACCAATTGCTTAATAGCATTATAAAGGAGTTGTCTCCCTTCTGTTGTTTCTACATCACAAACCACCCACATAGTCACTGCTCTTAATACAATGTTATCTGAAATAAGAAATTACTTTTAATATTAATCTTAACTGAGAGTTCTTAATTACTTCCCTTTGAGAAAAGTTCACATGATTTTACAATTCCTAGTATGGATTTTGTTTACATGACTACATACATGACATACAGAACAAGAAGTTGCACACATTGGCATGCTTAGCATACCACCAATTGTCATTAAAAGTATTGGAAAACAGGAAGTAGGTGCCCAACAGATCTGAAAAGGGCTCTGAAAAGTTATCACTGTCAAGCTACTGAGCAAACATGAAATCAATCTGTTCAGTAGTACTTGAGAAATGTGTAACGGAAATATAATGTTCATTCAATATATTGAAATGCAAACAGGAAGTAAAAGTCTAACAGATCTGAAAATTGCTCACATGTTACAACTATTCATTGTCAAGCTGCCATCTAAATATGAAGTTATTATGTTCGGTAGTACCTGAGAAAAATGTGACAAATATATTGGACGAAAAGAGGGACGGACATTGTGAATGCAATATACCTCCACTCCTAGAATTAAGGTATAATAAATGTTTAATATCATTAAAAGCAGATTACCAGGATTTTTAAATTTTAAAACAATGATTGCAGGATAATTCAGAGACCTCAACAACATACCCATCTCAAGATTTACTATCAAAATTATATTCCTTGTGAACATTATCATGCATTGTACTTCAACTGTGTATATTTCAAAGTATTCAATCCAGCCATGTAAAAGAAATTGTACTATCAAGACCATATACATCCAAAGCTTTACTGGGTACATAGAAATAATGTTTTACCTCTTCTCTGCATGTATTTCATATTTTCTGCCATAACGGCTGTCATGTCATCTGAATTCAGTAGTCCAAATGTATCTAGATCATCAAACGATCCACCATCTGAAATATTTGATGTACAAAAAACTTTTTCTCAAAACTATTTATCACTTATTCAGGCATAATTTTGATAGCTTGACTCTTCCAATATTAAAAAGTAAACCACAAACTTCAAGTTTTGTTATTTACTATCATTGATTATAAAATATATATCACAGCAAGCAGAAGTATAATAAACATTTGACACAGAGATATGTCTTGCATTTTGTTATTTTGATAGTATACCGGTAATGCAAATGTTAAAATTAAAAAGGCAATATTTAAACATGTAAACTATGCATATCATTCAAAATCAATAGACCATGACTAAGGGGGCTGGACCAAATAATCATCATGGAAATGAAATGTGCTAATGCTAATACATCTGTATACCAAATATCACTGACCTACCACTAATGGTTCCCCTTAAACTGAGGTAAACACAAACTAATACATATAAACTAAGCAAAAGTATAATTATAGAGGGAGCCGTAGACATTGATCTTAATCAACTTGAATTGCCTGTTTTCCTGTCAAAGGTTGCTGTTCTCTCTGGGAACTTTGGTTTCCTTCACCTCTATCTTCCAAGGTAATGCCCAAATGTCCTGAAAGTAGCATGTAACACCAACAATCAATCAATCAATCAATCTTATCTATCTATTAAGCACACTGATTGTATTTCTTCTTCTGGACAAAACATAGCCCTGTTAATTTTAATTCATTAGTTCTTGATGTCTCAAACATTATTGAGCAAAGAGTTTGTTTTGTAAATGTCTCTTTAAAAAATACTCCAATATAAGCGTCTTACCAATATTAACCGTAAGGTCTAGTGTTTTTACTGGTGGAGACAGAACTCGAGAGTTTAATCTGGGCAACACATTACTTTTCTCCATCAACCATTCATGAATATTGTTGCCATCGTGTAGGTTCCCCTGTAGAATATAGTCAATAACAACTAAATTACTGATTATAAAACATCTTGTTCTTTCCTTGATTCTCCATGTCAAAAAGACCATTAAACAACTGATTTTATACTATAAAAAATAACATTTGGAACAAACAGATGTTTAAGCTTTATGATACTTTTTATCAATGGGTTTTTATCTACTCAATTTTTTTTCATTTTTTCCCTTCATTTTAGGAAACTACAACTTTCTGAGAAGTTAAAAACTAGCACAATCAAAAAATATAATGCAATATAACTAACCTAATGTTTATATAAATAAACCTTTTTACTCTGCAATAAATCTAAGAATGCACTGTGAACATTCTTAGCAATCTACTGAAAAAACTTTATAAACTACACAAAATTTGCAGTTCCACAGGACACTGACATAGCCATGTTTTATAATATTGAAACGATATCTTACATTATAAACAGCTTTCTGTATATCTGGTGTCTGTGCCATAATCTCTGATACAACTCCCTCTTCAAATGTATTCTCTGTTAAATATTTATCTTTCAGTGGAACACCATTCAACAATACCTGGGGGAAATCTTTTAATCCTGCTCTTTTTACATAATCTAAAGCTGCCTATAAAAGAAATTAAAATTTTCATTTCAAAAATACAATCAATTGCAAGATTGACTTTCATGCATGCAGTTTCTTTTGACACGTTCAGTTCAACAGTAATATTTATTGATATATCAAGGATCTGGAAATTTCTGGAATTTTATCCATCTATCAAACATTTTTGAGGACCAAAAACCAGACTTGATGGTCTAAAGTGTATTGGCTAACAGTCTTTGTAGAATTTACTAACATGAATAGATTGGTAAAAGGTCCCTGGTAGTAGTGTTATAAACTCATAATTCTATCTTTTCCAATAAATACATCTATAATAACTGACCTTTCTGCTTGTATCATATTCATCATCAGAACCAAATATCATTTCAAAGTCATGATCTTTATACTTCTTTTGAAACATTTCAACAACTTGTTCTGGTGCAATGGGTCCTGACTTCACTTTTTCATACACCTGCATTTAAAAAAAAAAAAATACATTATTACAAAAATATCAATGATTTAAAAGTGCAATAAAAGAACAAATTCTATATCTGATTCTGTGATGGAATAAATTCTTCAATCTAAATTTTTTCAAGAGTAATTTCAATATGAGCATGGCATGATAAAAGTTCATAGCTTCAAAACATCTTTTTATTGGCAACATTTAATAGAAGACTGATCTCACTGAACATTAAAGCTGAACTCTTCAAATAAGTTAAACCACCATATAAAATATTTTGCATGTTAACCAACTGTACAATTGTTACTGGACGGCTGTAAAATGCCTTTAAACTGTCTTCCATTGATACAGGTATTTATAATGAAACTTAATGCTGATATCTTCACATACTACATAAATTCATACAATTGTGACTTAACTTACATCAGTGACAAATGACAAAGCCTTCCCAGGATTCTCTTCTTGACTAAGTATATCATATGCCCTAGACAGGGCTACACCTGCATCATCATATCCAGTTATCTTCATATCATCATTTGTTACAAATACAACGGCTACTCTGATTGGTGCACTGTGAACAATGAATGCTTCAGCCATTTTAACGAGCTCTCTACTCTCTTTATCCAATGGATCAACAATGAAAACCTATAAAGCAGAAAATGTAATCTACTTTCATAAAACTATAAATAAGAACTATATTTGATGTTATAGTTTCAATCTCTAAATACAATAGGAATAAAATAAAGACTGAACTGAACTGTAATCTACAAATGAAGACTAAGCTTCCTTCTATGGTGAAGTCCCTGCTAATACATATATGAATAAATGGGGAATGTGTCCATGGGACACAGATGATGTACATATGTACGTAAGTACGTACAGACGGACAAGGGTAAAACTTAATGCCCCCTCCGCTAAGGGCATAAAAAATAACTAAGTTTCTTATATCTGAGAAACAGTAAACTAAATTGTATCTGCCTTTTACTTACCAAATGAAATATATTTCTAGCAACATGTCGTAACATCCCTGGAAAAGTAGGTCTCAGTAAATCTTGTATACTGCTTGGCCAGTTACTATACTTCTTGTCTTTTTCTAAATCATTTATGTACTGAAAAAAAAATATAAATGATATATCATTTACTTGAAATAAATCATAAAGTTCTCAGACAATGCAATGAAAAATCAAAGTGCTTGTGAGCACTAAGGGAGTTTAGCATTGTGATTTCATCATTAATTCAAACATTCCATTTTATACAGATAGATTCTTACAAACTGCACTTCTTTCTGCTACTACTGTAAATTTTAGTAAAATGATTTTTCTTGACATGTATGGTAATACACATACACATCATATTGTAAATTGAATATCTGAGTATAAACGTACATTATGAATAAATTGATTCAATGGGCAAAGATAGGATCTAAAGAATGTTCACCTCACTACGCTATGTTATGGACTTGCCAAACACAGGTCAAATCTAAACTCATGTTTTGAAATCAGACCATTTTGGAAAAGGGGAAGCAATTCAAATTCTAAGTTACAGTTCAAATATGTACTTATTCACAAGCTTCCAAGGAGTCACAAATCAATGGTTTTTTTCAGTTTGAATGTTATTTTTCAAGATTAATTATGAAACTACAACAATTAATATAAAAATGAACATAAGAATTCATAACCACAGAACAAAAAGGAACACTTCAAACATAAATCAAATTCTGTTAAAAAAACATTACCTAGTATATTAAAGGACACTTTTTGACTTACTTGAATGGCAGTATGTCTAATATCCAGTGCAAAATTTTCTGTTTCTCCTGACAAATCTAACTTCATCAACTGGGATAAATCATTACCCTGAGAAGAGAGCAAAAAATACCTAAATTCATACAACAACAGATTATTTATACAATTTTCATGCATAAAATGTACACCTTAACTTTCCAATGCAAATGATATCACACAAGTACGCATATTTAGATTTCAAGTAAAGCAGATAAATTTCTGAACTACTGTGTAAAAATCATAACTGATTCATAAATACATCACATGAAATTTATAATTTTTCTACTACGGAATGACAAATTTAAACAAATTAATAGTCTGTCTATCATCAGTAGAGTCATCTTAGTAATATATTGTATGTAAATAGTTACTACAAAAACAATACATCTGTTTCTAACAGTTTTTTAGGTAATAAATCATTAGAGAAATTCAATACCTTGAAACCTAAAGAAAATAATCCTTGCATCAGTTTGGCCTCTGATCTCATTACATCTAAGAATGTAAACATATCATATACATCTATATCTATTGGTAGACCATTAACATAAAGGGCAGCGTCTCCTGGAGATATACCATGGTAATTCTCAAAATACTGAAAACATAACAAAAAAAATAAATTTCTAATACATAATATTTCTACTGAGGCTATATTTAATTAGAGGTAATAAACAACTGATTCACATTGAATGCAAATCTGATTTATAGTAAGCTACCAAACAACATGGAAAACTGGGAAAAGATAATATGTCTTTAAAATAAGTTCATTTTATCATACTAAAAAAATTCTGTAGATTTTTGTTTTTAACAAATCAATGTGTAATATAAATTTTCTATCTTTCTTCTTAACTGAGTTAAGTCATCTGTAGCTCTTTTCACAAAAAGACTAACAACTAAAATTAATCACAAGTTACACCAGAATGTTCATAACTTATACAGTCTGTGCTAAAAACTTTTTGAAGCACTTGCCCATAGGGCTAGTGGAATAAAAAAAAAATAGCCAAAGCAATGTGTATTAGACCTAAACTAATTTGTGTCACTGACTGTTGAGGATCACTAAGTGATCTGAACATGCGAGGAGGGTCCCCCCCCCCCCCCCAAGAAAATTTCAGAAAATTAGACATAAAATCCTGCATTCTGAGGTTACATTTTGTATCTGGAAGTGAATATAACTTATCAAAAAATGTAGTTTTTTTCTCCAGGTCAGATGATAAATTCTCCTTTCCACCAATAAAAAATTAATATAGTTCTTTTGCAAAAAAAATCCTTTTTCTATAAACATGAAAAACTTGTACCATTTCAAGTAAAAAGACTCGACTAAAAAATCCACATTTTTAGCACTAGTAAACTATTACTCAACTGAGGGATTGTTACTTTTTTGGGGAGAAATTCCCTAATTGGTGGTAGGCCCCAACCTGTTTATTCCTCATATTCTTTCATATTTTTTTTAGTCTTAAATTATATTAAAAGTTAATTCTCTGGCACTTCATTAGGGTCTGGATGTGGGTCCTTCATTTCTGTATTCTTTAATTTTTTATGCCATTTTTCTCTATTCTTTATATTTTAAAACACCTCATTTTTCTCTATTCTTTATTTTATTGGTTCATTTCTTTCTAAAAAATATTCTTTATGTTTTTTGCCCATTATCCTCTATTCTGTAAACCCCCCATCCACACCCTCCTTCATTGTAACTGTCATTTATGTTATTTAAAAATGACTAGAGCTTTTTTCAACTCAAAAGTTCTCCCGGTATTAGTGTAGGCCTTTTCAACTTTTCAATGTTTTACCTTGGATAGCCCCCTGTTTCTATTTCAGCATCGAATGAGATTGAATCCTTGATTGTTTGTTTACATTGAGTGGTATATATAGATTGTGTTCATTGCAAGCACATGGTCGAGCCTCGTTCTCGATTTCGTTGGAAATTAGGGTTTACATTGAGTGTAATTTATAAATTGTATTTATTGCAAGCACATGGTCGAGCCTTGTTCTTGATTTCGTTGGTAATTAGGTATATCGCGTTGACAACTGGTTGCCTTTGATTAGAAGTAACAAAACCCATATATAATAAAAATAGGTATACCAGTAAACGGATGAAAACAAGGTCGGCGACAAATTTGTAACTTGTTCTCATACATTCAACAAAATACCGGCTACAATTTCGCAAACGATTTCAGATGTTCACTAGACCGATCGGGCAAACACCAGTGCTTCTGCAGAAGTCCGATGAGATTTTTACTAGGCAGAGTTTCAGGCTACCGCTTAATGTCGCAGACTGCTTACAAGTATTTTTTATGTAAGATTTTTTGTGAAATTGATCACTGGTATTCTGATTCCACTAACAATAGCTGATGATAAAGTATTATCTGAAGTAGCAGAATTTCTGCTAGTACAAAAGGGCATAGCTTTCCAAATAAAAACATTAGATCTGCAAAAATCAAACTTAACGTGCACTTGAACTGTCCCTGAATTCAAGCAATTATTCAAGATTTTTTCAAGTAGGATATAAAAAAAAAACATGACAACTGATACTGTACATTTAACAATGATTTCAATTGTTTGAATGATAATTTATCTGAAATCATCATGAGAACAACATATTCTATTGGAATTTGTAATAACTTATACCTGCTGATTTTTCTCAATTTCTTTTTTCATTTCATTCTTCACTGGTACTTTAACCAAAGTCCTGAAAAACAATCCATGCTAGTATTAAGTTCAAAGATAGCATTATTTACACAATTTTTTAAAAATTAGACAAATATAAGCATCTTTTCAAGGATGAGCTATTGCTATTTATCTTATGTATATACAAAACTGTGCAAATTTCAGTCTCAATCAATATACATTATATTTTTACTTAAGAAATGAATGCATCTGTCTGTACTTTAACTGTTTTTTGAAAACATTACTAATAATACATTTTACATGAAGAATGATAGCACTGCATAAAAAAATAAACCTTCTATAAATATATTTGAAACATAGAATCTAAAAATTCATCTGTTACTTATTACTGTAATTCAGAAATTATTGTGTGCATTTATAATTGCGATTTTTTAAAAATGGACAAAAATGCGAGATTATTTCGATTTCAGGAAAATCAGATATCAGAATGCGAGTTCTTATTTATTATTGTGATATTCACCCAGTCGCATTATTCGCATTAATAAAAACATTGCAAAAATTTCTGAAATTACAGTATTACATTCCACCATTATTACTACAAAATTTGATATCAAATCAATGACTGAAAATTTCAATACACAACTAACATTACTTGTGATATCATTGTAACATAACAAAGTTTTGAATAAAGCATCAACTTTCAAGACACATGGTCCGGTTTATACCACACAAATTGTAATTACAATTAATTTAAAAAATACCAAATCAACATATACCTGGCAACAGATGGAAAGTTTTGACTGATATCCTGTAATTTTTTAAGAGCTTCTGGACCTTCAGATAACAATACAGTTTGTGCAGCTTGCAAACTCAAATCTGTCAAAAAAAATGAATACATAATTGTTAACCTTTGTTACAAATTACATAAACACACACAGAATCATTTATATTTATAACAGTGTCATTTAATACTGCAAGTTCAAACTATTTAAACAGACAAGTTAGAGAATGGAAACCAATTTTGGGACATACGTACGTACGTACAGACGGACAAGGGTAAAACTTAATGCCCCCACTGCTACGGCCGGGGCATTAAAATGATCTTTATCCAAAGTATGTATAAATATAGATAATTGGGTTTACGGCAGATTGACATCGTAAAATTTCTAGTCTCCCTTAGACATTTTTACGCTTGTTTTTGTTTTTGTGTCAAAGCCATGATACAAGAATTATGGAGAAACTGAGCAGGGTGAAATAGGTACAGGGAAATACAATAAATAATAAACTGCTTTGCCGAGCGCAGCTGGATACGACCGCAGAGGTCCAACCCTGAACAGTTGGGGCAAAAATGGACACAATATTCAAGCTTGATACTGGTCTGAATTTGGATTGATATTAAATATTTGACACATTATAGGTTTCTGACACAGAATAAATGTACTCAAAGAACTTGAAATTGGTTGTATGATTTGAATTTATATTCAATTGAAGATTTCTTGCTGTTGTGCAATACACTGTGCTGTTGCGCAATACTTAGTAACTCTGTTTTCAGACTATATATAAAGAATTAGCAAAATAAATAGTGACCCCCAATTTTTTTCTTAAATCTTGAGGAAAAAAATTGACCCCCCCTCCAAAAAACATAATATTTGAAGAGAATTTTCTTTTGAGGAGCTACAAAATTACATTTCTGACTTTTAAATTATAATGTAGGTAATATGACACTTTTATTCATACCTTGTAACTGCCATACTTTCAATGCTGTCAGTTCTGTAGAAGATTCTCTAAGATGCTTTCTAAATTGTTTCAAATCATCCTGTTTTTCTGGATACAAATCTCTAAAAATGTATAAATATAATACATGCTCAAATCTGTCAATAAGTCAGCATTGTATGATACAGTAATTTCATTATTGGTATGGTAGTACTCTGTTATAAGAAGTTATTTTACACTAAATATTATTTATGCTCTTTTAAGTACCTTCTGTTATTTCAGTGTCAGATACAAAAAAAACAGCCAGGTGAGATCTCAAAAACCCAGTTTGACCCTGTCGCCTGATCATGTGCCTGTACCAAGACAGCAAAATCAAAAGTGGATTTAGTTATATCTTATATTTTTTTTGTCATCAATGGGATTTGGTGTTGATGGGAGATCTTAGTCTCTGCGCAATTTATTAACCATGTTAACATTATTCTAGACACCTAGATGGCTAATCACTTAGAAAAATAACTTGCTTCACGAGTACAATCCCTATATAATTATACATTATTCTGTGAGAAGTGTCTTAAGAAGAGAAGATCTACATAATCTAGAGATTTTCTATGTTTCAACTGATTACTTAATGAAATGTTATCTTGCTACTTTTATTTTTGATATCAGCTTACTTAAGTTTTGAGAAAATAAATCCTTGAATTTCATCTTCTCCTTCTATCACTTCATCTTCTTCTTTCGTCCCATCACCTAGTTTGAAATAGTTAAACCATAAGCATATATTTACAATCTGTTATTAAAGATTCAGATTTTTTCTTAAAAATCAAAAACAATGCAAAATGGAAAAAAAATACATATTTCATATATCATATGTACCTATATATCATACAACTTGTTCTAGTAAAGAATCGATGCTGTCTTACAATCATAAATTCCTTAATTTGCATGAACTTTTATCTAAGGGCTAACATAATAAAAACAAATATGTTTGAATATCTATTAAAACAAGTTTCTTAAATAACATACAAATTAGTGTGATGTTCATTTTCACTGAACTAGTATACATTATTGTTTAGGGGCCAGCTGAAGCCCGCCTCCTGGTGCAGGATTTTCTCAGTGTTTGACCTATTGGTGGCCTTGGGCTGTTTTCTGCTCTTTGGTGGTGTTGTTGTCTCTTTGACGCATTCCCCATTTCCATTCTTAATTTTAAATATCTGTTTATAAGCATTGCTCTGTTAAAAAATATACCTTCAATCTTTGTATCATCTTTGGCTTTATATTCTTGACTTTTAATTGCCAGTTCTACCCCATAACCTGATAATCTGGTCTTCTGTTCAGACGGATTCTGTAAAGAAGGAAATCAATTTCATAAAAAATTTATCTTACTATATAGTTTATTTTTTTGTTAAATATCATTTTGCGACCAGTAAAACACCACAAAAAATAAGTTGTTTCACATTTGAATTTAAATAGTATGAAAGATCAAATATTTTTTCTTATATAAGATATTGGGATTTTAATTTAATTCTTTTTTTTTTAATTTTCCTTGAAAAAAATCTTTTTCCCACTTTCAATCTTTCATAAATTCCCTGGAAACACCAGAGGGTTACAATTCATCTGGGGGAAAGTTAAAAACAAAAGAAGAGAACATTATTTATTCAAAATAATACAACACAATATACAATGAAAAAAATAAATATGCATCCTGGACATAGTGTTTTGGGTTGCTGTCTCATTGGTGTATACCCCACATCTTCCTTTTATTCATCTTTTTAATAAAATAAGTATTAATGACTTGTCAATAAATATAAGGTGTATGCCTTTAGCCATTTTCTACCTTAACAAAGTGCCGCAGTAAATAAGTAACTTCATGACTCATGGCCAAATTTCTAAGTTCAACATGGAAGTCCCTGAAATTTGGCTTTCCAAGTTCTCCATACAAAACAGCCACTACCGGTACATCAGATTCATCTGATCCTGGGTAAACATGGTCAAACTTGTATATAGCAGACTTTTTCCTGAAGATTATAAAGTGTAAAAGTTAAATAATTGCCTTTAAATCAATTACACTTACTTTTCAATACAAAACAGCAATACTATAAATCATTGAATGTAAAACAAGAAAGGATCATATGAATAGACTTTATTAAATAGACATAAATGATTTTATAGTAAAAAGATTTGGTAATATGAGCTTGCATTGTTATTATTCTGTTGCTAATAACATGAATCAAGTGCTTTTTCTGGTTTGATTTTAATGAATTGAATCTTTTGGTCTTCCACTGAAAAAAATGAAGGAGTGTTAGATACTTCAATAATTAGTTGCTATGCCATATGTTTTAAATGCTTTTTCCAAATCTCCGTGGTTGTCCCTATTCGTTTAGTTACTGTAAATGCAGATGATTTTATTATTGCGAAAATTGTACCGAGAAAAATTTGCAAAAATATAAGCTCACATTAAACATTTTGATAGCATCATTTCCTGAAATCACAATAATCACTTTACAATTTTTGTCAATCGTTCAACAATCGAAATAACAAAAGTACACAAAAATTTCTAAATTTCAGTAATTTGTCTTTTGATGATTTGGTATTAAGTTTCAGATATTTGGTTGTTCTTCCCAACTTTTCAAGACTCAAAGCTCATGACAATAGTAAAACACTTCATGGCTTTATCTAGAGGTCTACTTTTATTACATGGTATTGTTGGGTTGATGTTTTGTTTATATCTACCCCACATCTCCTATTGTTCATATACATTTTTTATCTTAGTAATAGTTATTGAAAAATGCATGCAAAGTAAGGAAGTTGTCTTCAATATCTGAAGCCACCCAGCTGTCGACAATCAAGAAACAATGAGGAAACTTGTTACCAATTTAAAAGAAAAATCACCTTTTCTTGGCTTCTTCAAGGCTTTTTTCAATTTTTTTGGGACTACAGACCTGAAGTCCATTCAAGCTAACAAAAACATCACAGTTTTTCTTTTCAGGTGGTGGTTCATGCAACGCCATCTAAAATAGATATTTCTGACTAGTAAAAATAATTGCAACATATCTCTGACAGCTTCTATGTGTTATATTTAAACATGAAAATACACACCTTCAAGTGCATTCATAAATGGGTTATTTCACCATCAGGCACCTTGAACATCTATGGTTCATTACTATCTATTACATCTTTATTAGAAGATAAAATTTAAAAAAAGTTTATACAGGCAAACTTTCAGAACATTAGAAATCTTCAAATTTTCTTAACAGAACAGATTTTTCAATCAAATCCTGACACACATCATTAGCAAATAGTTCATACCTGATTAAAATTTTCAATAGCAGGAGAATAAATTCTTAGAGACATTGACAACTTCAGTAAGCTCATCTGTAATTTAGATAGTGACTTCTCTGCATACGTAAGTATCATGGAATAGTAGGGTAGATCTTTCACTGTAAAATAATTATAAATCAATTTATCTATATGTTTAACTTTCAATTTAGAATTGATAAAAAAAAGTCATTGATCAACAAATGAGCAGAGTTCCAATGCCCCCCACGTTGCACATATTTTATCTGCCCAAGGGCAATAACTAAAAACTTTTTTATAAATGTCTTAAAGAGAAATGAGGGATTGAGAGCAAATGCAATGCAATTATAAGATATAATTAAAATTTCCAAGGGGCATTACTCTTTTTAAATAAAAAAATGGACACAATATTCGCGCTTGATACAGGTCTGAATTTGGATTGTAATTAAATATTTGACACATAATAGGTTTCTGACACAGAATAACTGAGGTCAAAGAACTTAGAATTGGTTATATGATTTGAATTTATATTCAATTTTTTTGCTTTTGAGCAATATACTTTGCTGTTGCGAATTGACCCCCCTCCCCCACAAAAAAAAAAAAAATTTTACCCCCCCTTTGTTTTTGCTTTTGTGCAATACACTATGCTGTTGCGTATTGAAAATTTTTTGCGGTCATATAAAAATTGATCAGCGCTGATTTTTATGTTTATTACATAGGGGTAATTTGAATTGAAATAAAATCTGCAATGGTTTCAAAATAACTATAAACTGTGTTTATAAAAAATAACATCGAAGGATAACTTTTTAGCTTCAACTCAATTACCCTTGTTTTATTGTAAAGCAATGAAAATTCATGTTTTCATAGAAACAGATTTCAGTACATTCTTACCACTTTCCATTTCCTCAGGTTTAAGTAGTGAAACATCACTTATATATCTCCAAAAATATTCTATATTTTCTTTTGCAAGGTATTCACTGTAATAGAAAATTAATCACCTATAACAGTTTACCTAATATTCTGACAATTGTATTAAGTGTGTTATCTGAAAGGCTCCAAAGCTTCAAAGCTTAGGATATATTTAATATATTTTATATTTAGAAAACATTTTTGCCAACCTTTTTCATTAGCAATGTCCTTTTGTTTTGTGTTTTTTGTTGTTTGTTTTTTATACATTGGTTATTTCTCTGTATATTTTAAGATTGTTTACTCAAATTACCCTCATTTATTTTCAATTTCTATGATTCACAATGTAATACATTGCAAGTTTGTTAAATTTGTTCACTACTTTTCTCTATTCTTGAGTGATTTAGAGCTTTGACAGCTTGAAATATTGTATAGACACTTGCTTCTGTGGAAGATCATAAGCTGACCTTCAGATAATTTGGTTTTTGTGTTGATGGGTTACTGTCTCATTGATGTATGCCCATATCTCATTTATCTAATATGCAGTGTCACTTTTGTTTACTGAAGTAACTTTTATTTTTAAATCCATTTTTTTAATAAATAAAGATATTTTTGTACTTTCCATTAAATAGTTTAAAAAAAACAATGTACCTAGCTTCTAACAATAAAGGTGTTGAACCCCATTTAGCATCAAGTGTCACAGATACAGATTTAGGTCTTCCCTGCACTGTTGAAATAATACAAAATAATAACAATCCTATAACCAGCATCTTCACAACCTGAAAAAAGATTATAAAAACATGATAAATAAAGTATATTATTTTAATATTGAACTAATGATTAATAATTTTTTTCCAGTGAAACACACTATGCATCCTTACATTACATGCACTTTACAGCATGAAACTTATTAAAATATTCAAAATGCACAAATTTCATACAACCAGTAAATCATCACTATCACTCTCAAGTCTTATACCTTTCCTTTTCACATAGGGAAGGCGTTTTCAAACAAGTTTATGTACCATTTCATATCTATTTCTTTTAGGTGCCTGTTTACAAGTCATTCCATTATATAGCATTTATATTTCATATTTTTTCATTCATTGTATTCCAGTTTTAGGAACAGACTTCATGTAATGCACAATACAACTTCCGTTCCATTTTTTGTTACCCAAAACCAAGTCTTGTTTTCTGAGCATTGTATGTCATATATCATGGGTGAACAGGTAAAAAAAAATGGCAGATTGTTAAACTAAGTTACATAATCTGAATATATTTTGAACAAATTAGTGTAAAGATTTCATATCAAGACATACATTTTGTAGATTTGTCTCTTAAAGCAGACACCTCAAAACAATGTCTTTTTAAGTTAACACAATTAATTTCATTTTCATTGGAATATGGTCTTGTTAAAGCATACAACTGTTCATATTCTCCCAGAGAATATTTTGAATTGCTTTGTTAAAGTTCTTTATACATGACAAATATAAAGTTGGAGTAAATTTATCAAAGCATACTTGAGATACTAAGTGCATGACATGTGAAAAATTGCCTCAAATTGAAAAAATGAAATGAAAAGATTTAATCCTCAACATAACTGAGTTACCTATAAACAAGGAATTATTTAAATCTGGAATAATTTTGTATTCATGTAAATCGATAAGAAATGTATGATGAAAACTAACCCAATTTAGGAGGGTTAGCCAGGCATGCATGGCTAAGGGGGGTTAGTAAGTTCATACTGAAATATCAGTGAAAGTAAAAGTAACCTTAGCCATGCACGCATGCACGCATGGCTTACCCTCTTTATTTAGGTTAGTTTTCATTATACATTTCTTATCAATTTTCCAGAATTCAAAATTATTCCAGATTTAAACAATTCCTTGTTTATAATATTTTTTGAACTATTGTAGTAGTTAATAAACTTGTGAATAAAAAAAAAATTAAAAGGTAGAAAATCATTATACTAGTGAATTCAAAATCATTAACTTGCTATTTTCTCTTTTTGAATATGCATAATAATCCTTTCTTGTTTTTGTTTTTGGGGAACATCATACATTGTCATAAAAGAGGGACGAAAGATACCAGAGGGACAGTCAAACTCATAGATCGAAAACAAACTGACAACGCTCTGGCCAAAAATAAAAAAACAGACAAAAAATAGTACAGATGACACAACATAGAAAACTAAAGACTAAGCAACATGAAACCCACCAAAAACTGGGGGTGATCTCAGGTGCTCTGGAAGGGTAACCAGATCCTGCTCCACATGTGGCTCCCGTCGTGTTACAAATCCGGTAAATAGTCTTATTCGGTAAGTCACATTCGTAAAGGAGTAAACATGTATAAGTTTCCGGCAAATGTGTATATATCTGATTACGAAAAAGAAAAATGGCACTGCTATTTGTTCAGACTGCAGGGCATGTAATCTACCCACGATTGAAAGTTGAATATCAGCCACATTCCATTTGTAAACATGGTTAAAAAATAAAACCTTTTTTCCCTTATTTTCCTTAAGCAAAAAGATCTACTTTAACTATCTGTAAGGCATGGAAAATTTCATTAAAATTATTGTTTGGGTTTGGATTGTTTTGATTATTTTGACATTTTTACATATTATAAAATTGAGAATGGAAATGGGGAATGTGTCCAAGAGAAACAACCCGACCATAGAGCAGACAACAGCCGAAGGCCACCAATGGGTCTTCAATGCAGCCTCTGTTTGTTTTGTTCACACATTGTTGTCAATATGGAATTTTATGTGACTGTCATAAAAGTGAGAGGTTTAGCTATAGCTAGCTATAATCCACCATTTCTACATAGGAAATGCCTGTACCAAGTCAGGAATATGACAGTTGTTTTCTATTCGTTTGATGTGTTTGAGCTTTTTTTTTTTGCAATTTGACAAGGGACTTTCCGCTTTGAATTTTCCTTGGAGTTCGGTATTTTTGTTATTATACTTATACAACTATGGCATGGATCATGTATGCCTATGGTAACTGGTTCTTGAATGGCTTCTGGTTCTTTGTGAGCAAGATATAGATTATATGCCCTGTATTCCAGATCCAAGCTATTTCAACAAGTCCATGTTATAGTAAATACCCATTTTATGAAATCATACTGCTTAACGTCAGTAATGTGTCATGAGAGCAAAAATTAAATTGAATAAAATGATACAATAAAGGGAAGCTCTTTGGTTGTAGAAAAAAGTCATTCAGGTCACTGTGGTCAACTTAGCAATATTTTCTTTGCACTCAAGAGTAAATTTTGTAGTGTAAATACAGACATTTTATCCAAAGGGCCTATAGATCTGGATGAACCTTAAAAAACAATAACATGTGAGAGATCACCATTTAGCACCTGCCTCGTATTACAATTGTACTAGTTTAAATATAAACATCTGAACATTTCTTAATTATTAAAGAGTTGGTTTACAAATTTAACATATTGCAAAATCATGGCTATACTCATGATACTGACAATGAAACTGACAATGAAACTCAAAAAGATGGGGAAACCGGCAAATCTACTGAGATATACTTTCACATTTGTCATTGTCATCTATTTTGTCTATTTGTAATCAATGGACAATAATGTCCGAAATAAAATGGTGTTTAATTTTTTTTAAATCTTTCTTTTTAATTGATTTCTGTGGACAAACAATAAAACATTTTTTCGTTTACGTTACCTTCATGGACAGCGCCATATTACAGGTTCGGGTATGATGTGGGTCATTTTCATTTGCCAAAAATATTTATTTTGATAAACAATTCTGTTGTCTTCCCGTATATGTTATACTAACAATAAGCGTTAGTACTATGGCAATGAATTTAATTGATAAAATGTATATTTGTAAAATGAAGTAAATTTACTGCTCATCTGTATATGGGGAAGATCTCAAAACAATCAACCACTAGACGGGTTACACTAATGACTGGACCGAATGACAGGACCGAATGACAGGACCAAATGAAAAATGCTAATAACTTTTTCATTTCTCAAGGGATGTATCTCAAATTTGAAATATAATAAGATTTCATCATTTTATATATAGATTAAAGAAAAAAAAAATAGATTTGTTTTTAGAAGCTTTTGAAAACGTGACCTGACCAACGCTGATAATGACAGGACCACCATCGACAATGACAGGACCAAATAAAAATGCTAATAACTTTTTTATTTTTCAAAGGAATTATCTCAGATTTGAAATATAAGATAGGATGTCATCCTATAATATATATATTTTTTTTAAATTATAGATTTTTTTTTCAAAAACTTGCGAAAACGTGACATGACCATCGCTGACTGACAGGACCAACCTCGACAATGACAGGACCAAATGAAATTGCTAATTACTTTTTTATTTCTTATAATATTTCTCTGAAATTTGAGATATAATAAGATTAGACCATTTTATACATAAATATAGGAATAATATAGAAAAAAATATTATAAACTTGCGGTAATTTGACCTGACCAACGCTGACAATGACAGGACAAACCTCGACAATGACAGGACCAAATAAAAGTGCTATTAACTTTTTTTATTTTTTCAATGGAATTATCTCAGATTTAATATATAATAAGATCTCATCTTTTAATACATAAATTAAAGAATAAATATAGATTTTTTTTTTAATTGCGAAAACGTGACATGACCATCGCTGACTGACAGGACCAACCTCGACAATGACAGGACCAAATGAAACTGCTAATTACTTTTTTATTTCTCAATAAGATTACACCATTTTATACATAATTAAAGAAAAATGTAGAAAAAAAGTATAAAAAGCTTGCGGTAATGTGACCTGACCAACGCTGACAATGACAGGACCAACCTCGACAATGACAGGACCAAATGAAAATGCTAATTACCTTTTTATTTCTCAGAATATTCCTCTCAAATTTGAATTATTATAAGATTAGACCATTTCGTACATAAATATAAGAAAAATATAGAAAAAAGGTATTAAAAGCTTGCAGTTATATGTGACCTGACCAACATCGGCAATGACCTGGCCGATAAAAAGTCCTAATTTCTTTCTTATTTTACCTAAATTGTTAAATTTTGATCCATAACTAATAAGATATTACTAAAATAACTTATGAAAAATAAATGTTTTGGTGAGTAAAAAACAATTGTTTGAATATTTAATTGAGCGATCTAAGACTTGAAATATTTACTTGATATTGCATATATTCATTTTACAGTTTAGGAAATAGTTCATTAAACTAGATAAATTAAGATTTATTGAATTTTAATCATTATATTTCTTGACATTTGACACCATGAGGTCGTTTAAGTACCAAGCCACTTTGACATTTTGTTTTATTTTATCCTTATGTCTGTGACTTTCTGTCCTATATTGTCAGTGACCCAGGAAAATGAATATCATATACCTTTTTATATGTAATTGGATTTGCTTCAAATTTAAAGAAACATAAGGATTTAATTATTCATTTTATCAAATATAAAAAAACTATTATTTTATGAAAATATTTAAAACTACAAAGATATCATGCATGCAAGGGTCGGGCATACTTCAAGAAATGTTTATTTGTTTTTTATGAAAAAAATATAACTATCAAGATATATCCTGCACAAGGCTCGAGCTTTCCTCAAGTAATACGTGGAAATAATTATTTACTGTTCTGAAAATAATAAAAAAACAACAATATGTGATTTTAATTACTGTCATCACAAACTATATTGGATTTATCAACTTATTTATGGCTTATTTCACACCTTTTGTTTGTCACCTTATAATTGTGATCAAACGTGTCAAATAATGATCGGTAATTAATATACAAAACATAATCTACAATTAACACAGTTAAATACAATATACTACTCAATACCATAAAAAGTTCAAATAACGCGGTGGGCGTCCGCAGACCTAACGGTTTTTTCCCCAAGTTTTTTTTTCTTATTTGATAAAAACTTAACCATTCAATCTTAATGATTTTTTTTTATTAATTTTAAGCAAATCCTATAACATTTGAAAGTAGTACGTACAACGATCCGGACACAGTCAACGCTGGTTAGGTCAAGTTTTTTACCCTAATAAATATATTTTTCGTATGTTTTTTATATTATCTAATTAATCATAGATCAACTTTTGTAAGTAAAATCACAAAGAAATTAGGACTTATCATCGGTCAGTCATTGCCAACTTCGGTCAGGTCACGTTTACAGAATTTTCTGATATTTTATTTTAATATTTTCCTATATTTATGTACTAAATATTGAAATCTTATTATATTTCAAATTTGACATTAATCCTTAGAGAAATAAAAAAGTTATTAGCATTTTCATTTGGTCCTGTCATTGTCGAGGTTGGTCCTGTCATTGTCAGCGTTGGTCAGGTCACATTCCCGCAAGCTTTTTATACCTTTTTTCTATATTTTTCTTTAATTATGTATAAAATGGTGTAATCTTATTGAGAAATAAAAAAAGTAATAAGCAGTTTCATTTGGTCCTGTCATTGTCGAGGTTGGTCCTGTCATTGTCGAGGTTGGTCCTGTCAGTCAGCGATGGTCATTTTAGGTTTTCGCAATTAAAAAAAAAATCTATATTTATTCTTTAATTTATGTATTAAAAGATGAGATCTTATTATATTTTAAATCAGATAATTCCATTGAAAAATAAAAAAAGTTAATAGCACTTTTATTTGGTCCTGTCATTGTCGAGGTTGGTCCTGTCATTGTCAGCGTTGGTCAGGTCACATTACCGCAAGCTTTTTATACCTTTTTTCTATATTTTTCTTTAATTATGTATGAAATGGTGTAATCTTATTGAGAAATAAAAAAGTAATTAGCAGTTTCATTTGGTCCTGTCATTGTCGAGGTTGGTCCTGTCAGTCAGCGATGGTCATGTCACGTTTTCGCAATTAAAAAAAAAATCTATATTTATTCTTTAAATTATGTATTAAAAGATGAGATCTTATTATATATTAAATCTGAGATAATTCCATTGAAAAATAAAAAAAGTTAATAGCACTTTTATTTGGTCCTGTCATTGTCGAGGTTTAATTGTCCTGTCATTGTCAGCGTTGGTCAGGTCAAATTACCTCAAGTTTATAATATTTTTTTCTATATTATTCCTATATTTATGTATAAAATGGTCTAATCTTATTATATCTCAAATTTCAGAGAAATATTATAAGAAATAAAAAAGTAATTAGCAATTTCATTTGGTCCTGTCATTGTCGAGGTTGGTCCTGTCAGTCAGCGATGGTCATGTCACGTTTTCGCAAGTTTTTGAAAAAAAAATCTATAATTTAAAAAAAAAATATATATTATAGGATGACATCCTATCTTATATTTCAAATCTGAGATAATTCCTTTGAAAAATAAAAAAGTTATTAGCATTTTTATTTGGTCCTGTCATTGTCGATGGTGGTCCTGTCATTATCAGCGTTGGTCAGGTCACGTTTTCAAAAGCTTCTAAAAACAAATCTATTTTTTTTTTCTTTAATCTATATATTAAATGATGAAATCTTATTATATTTCAAATTTGAGATAAATCCTTTGAGAAATGAAAAAGTTATTAGCATTTTTCATTTGGTCCTGTCATTCGGTCCTGTCATTCGGTCCAGTCATTAGTGTAACCCCCACTAGACACGTAAAAGCCGCTACTTGACACCTAACACAAACTTAAACTGGACCCCTGTTGTGTTCACTTATCACTACACTGAATTTTCCTGTTATGACGTCATGAAAAAAGGCGACCATGCCTGATGGCGTCACATATAAAGAGCACAACTTTCTGAAAATCTTTGAAAAGGAAGGATAAAAGCCGATCATAAAAATCATTAGAGAAACAGATTCCACCACTATAACTCGTGTATTACGATATTTCTCCACTCTCAACAGTTAAATTTTAATTATTCAAAAAGCTCGGCAAGCCTCGCGCTTTAAATATTAAAAGCTAACTGTCTCGAGTGGAGAAATATCGTAACACACTTGTTGCAGTGGTGGAATCTATATTTAGTGGATTCACCAATTAAAAGAATAATTATATTAAATGGTCACATCAAACAGATACAAAGTTTTTATAATAGATATAAGCAGATGTGGTATGAGTGCCAATGAGACAACTCTCCATCCAAGTCACAATTTGTAAAAATAAATTATACATATTTCTAAAAAAAAGATTTGGAGTAAAATTTGAAAAAAAAACAGAGGTTTCTTTATGTCACTGCACTGTCTTATAATTACATAAGAATTATAATCTAATTTAAAAGGGACATAAAAACGCCAGTTATAGTGTTATACACATATCGATCCAAGCCGTTACTGTGAAATCGCTGGGTATTTGGTTAATTACAATTTCATGTAATTACAGTGAGTTTTGTTCTCCCTTGAGTGATTAAGAAGGTGTAAAAACAGTACGCGTGCCAGTTATTAGAATATAGCAAAGTGCTCTTGACCAATGAAAGTGTAGAATTTGGTGTTCCTTAATTGTGAAGAATGAATGTAAATCATGTTCTTAGTAAGGGATTATCCTTTTGTTTAGGCCTATTTACAGTTCAAAACAAAGAATTTGTATAAATGAGTTACAACTGCCTGAAGCACATTTATTAGGATTATTGATTTAAAGTTGAATTTTGAAACAAACAAAAATGATCAAAATAAGTTTGAAGTTTACTTGTGCAGTACACTTGATACCGTTTGTGTTATTATGTGAATACTTAGAACTTTCAAA